TGCCGGGTCTCGTGTGGATAACTCTTTAAGCAGATATTCAGCAGTATGGAAAAACACTTGCGACGATGATTCAGGCCTGCAACAGTAACCTGTTCCATTAGGAGCAATATCTTTTGTAAAACCTGAGACTTACACATATAACGGTCGGAACATTTTGATGATGCCCCCAGCAGTTACAAAAAATAGCCATCCCCGTGATCGCGATTTAAGGTATTTATGCAAACCCAAGTTCTTCTTGCAAGTCAGAGGTGCACTGAATATTTCGCTGGTGTCGCTTTCGCTTTCCGCCGCAATCAAAGCCGCTTCGGGAAGCCTCGCCGTTTTCTCAGCCTTAGCAGTAACGGGTAGACCTTCTTTTTCCGCAATTACCAGGTGCGCTTTGCAATACAAGAATCCAGGCAACGGCTCTTCCGTACATTGGCAAGGAAATTTAAGTAGCGGAAATTTGGGATGAGTTTTCTGAAAAAATTATTATTTTTAGCGTTAATTATTACAGGAGCATTCATTTTGCGTTAAGACTAACCTTGATCTGAAAGGAACAGATGACGTGACTGAATTTCCAGTTCCCATCCATTGCTACAACGTCCCTGCAGCCTTTTGCTATGCAGAGCGCGTGGTGTACATGTGGCAGTAATTCCTTACTGAGAATTTTATTCAGCTCTGTCAGCGCTTCGTCCCAGTCATTTTCAGCAGTAAATCCAGTACTCAGCTTTCCAAGACTTCGCAAATACTGCTCAATGTGGTATTTAAAGAATGCTTCGGCCAATTGCTTCCGGTTGTAATCTACAAAGCTCTTTACAGTACACATTTCATATATCCTGAATGTATCCCAAAGCAGCAAAGCTCATACCCTCAGCAATTCGAACGCGTTTTTGACACAAGACGAAAATGCCTGAAAGCTGCACTGTTTGAAGTACCTGAAATAAAACATTAAACCAATTGTGAACTGTAATTAAATTTACACAGTTAGTTTAGCGTCGGTGTGTCATATCTCACATGTCGGTTTTTATCAAAGCACAGAGCCGCCTTGTGCAACACCATTCACGGGAAATTTCCACAAAAGGTCTCGGGTTCTCCTACAAGAAAAATTTTTCTTTTTCCGAGTGAAAGAACGTTGAGTAGCGGTAGTAGCTCTTGCAGGAGCGGCAACGGAGGTTGAACTTCCAGCACTTTATATGCGTGCCATCGATGTCGCTGACAGTACACTACAAAAATAGTTGCACATTTTATAGCCGTAGTCAAAAAAATATCTATATTTTTCTAACTAAATCTGAAGGGTCATGATGCGTGTAGAGAGAAGGGTTTCCGTGTTGGCCGTTCCTGGTGTTTCGGATTTGACAGCAATCGTCGACCAAACACTTGTCAGTGGGCGGTAGAAGAATAACAGGATCGATGGTTTTCCGTGCGAACATTTCAAATACTTCGGGAAGGGCCCTCAACTCCTTTACAACTCGCAGTAGAGTGGATTCGTTGCAGTTCAAATGTGTCGTTATTTTCTGCAAGATAAACGCAAACCAACAACGTCGTTAGTAATTATATATATACCGAAACATCACAAACCTTCCAAATGGCGGGAAACTTGGGACTGAGCTCCGGCCACATGTGCAGTGCTCGAGCAGTCTTCCGCGCGATATCAAAACCATTGTTTAGTATAAACAAGGTTTTCTTGTCGGACATGTTTTACTTATAACAAACGCTGATCTTCAACTAATATGGCGTACAGAAACCGCATCTACCTCCTTAATTTTTATGTAGATTGTGGCAAAATTTTGTTATATCTTCGCTACAAGGCGAAAGGGTGCACCCCATGCTATTTTCGTCGTTGAAAGTGCGGTGTGCATTGTTGCGACGTAGTGCACACAAACTGCATTATTACTTGCTTTTTTATTTTTTCATTTTTGTACTTTGTTTTGTTCATTTTGTATGTTGTTTATTGTTTTTACTCCTTAATTCCTGCGTTCTTTTTCGTTCCCTTCGTTTGCATTGTTTTCACTGAAATAAACAGAAATGTTGCCTTTTTATTAAGCAGCAGCCAAGATCAGTATACTTCCGCAGGTTTACACTCGTTAAGGTGATAAATTTTAAACACTGAAAAACACCCATAATCATTATTGTCATTGAAGGTCTTATGACGTGCTTGTATGTTAAAATAAATATACATTAAGAAGGGTTCATTAGCAACCATAGCTGGTTAAAACTTTCTAACAATTTGTTTGCTTGGGGATGTGTAAACTCAAACTTCAACAATGGACGAAAAACAGCTTGTTAATAATTAAACTTTCGATGATTTTGATCGCAAAACCCTTCCGCTTTCAGCAGTTGGCGGCTTCGTGCAGCGGCGCTTTTTCTTCGCGGCGGCCGCTGTAGCAGCAACAACGTCTTCTTGCACGAACTCGTTTGCAATATCGAACCCAGGCGCCGGATGACCGTAAGCGGTTACCACCTCTTCGGCAGGAGTGCTTCCGCTGACAGCGGACACATCTCCAGCATCTGTCTCGGGACCCTGGAGGGTCGGATCCGGCGACTGGGGTCGCTTCCGACTCTGCTCTGCATCCTCGACCGACGATGACCGCTCATTTCCTTTATTGCCACCAGAACTCTGAAATTCACATTAAATTCTACACTTCTACTCGAACGACACAAAATAATACCGTAAGTTTTTAAATAATTGTTTTCGACCAAATCATAACTACCTGATTATCGGTAGCTACTTCTGAACACTTCCGTCCTTGAAGAAGACGCTTGTAAATTGCTCGGTTGGCAATATGACATTTCAGTTGTGCTGGATCATGGCTCTGCCGGGTTGCTTCTGCAAAAAGGATGTAGTTCTGCCGTAGCATTATTGCGCTACTGTTTTGAAACTAAGTTTGAAATCTCACCGTCATTAATCAATTGCCAGCTCTCTCCCAGCAGTGTTATTGGCATCGCGTCTCCAGCAGCCGGCTTTCCCGTACAGAACGTGTTTACGGTGATGTTGACTGCGCCTCTTTTGGAATTCTTTTCCGGCTTTTCGTTCAACCATGCCTTTACTGCCGCTTCTGAAGTTTCCCTCAGCAGGGAGACGATTTCAGCGCCTCATCCGACGGATAAATAGACAGGCAGACTCATAGTCGCTGTCTCGGATCGGAATGGACCAAAGTGCACTCATAGTGGTCAAGCGGATTTGGACGCGTGGATCTGGAAACGCGCGTGGATATGGATCTTATATTTTGTTCCTGTTTTTTCTAGTTATAAATTTCGATAGATCTTATTTTTATGTAGAATAGACTTATCCCAATTTTGTTAGAATTTCTTCTGTTTGCACACTGCACTGTAGAGACGTTTCGCGCAAACCAACTTACATACTCAAACTTTTCCACATAAATCAATTCTGCATAACTTCCGTAATCAACTCATTCCACTATTGGCGCACGCATGTGCCCAATGACATAATCAGAAAGCGAATCAAAATTACTTCGACCGGTGCACGAACGTGCCTGGTAAATCAAAATACAGCCGCGTACATTTATTCTAGCGGAAATCAGCCATTTGCATTCGGTAAATCTCCAAAAAACCGCCCGATGGCCTTGTGACGTTGGTGCGACTCAAAATAAATTTTAGGTTAAACTTCTCGACCACTAAAATCAATAATTCCATCTTAAAATGCCCGGGGACAATCGTCACCCACCAGTGGCATCACAGGCACGCCTGTTAAGTGGTCAGGATAATCAAAATCTGCCCGATGGCCTTGTGCCGTTGGCGCGACTCAAATTCCCTTTTTCTTCCCACTTTCGTGGAGAAATCAAAATCCCGTACGCCTATGTACAAACTCAACCGCGAAACAATCAGCTTTGCATAACTTTGTACCAAACAGTTGCAGGCCAATCAGCTTCTCAGACCAAACCCCCGTTGCAGGCTGACCAGCTTACTCACCCAACACAAAGACCGATCAGCTTGGCGCGGGTAATACGACTCGGAAGTGCAGTTCGGGAGTTAGTCGGTTTTTACAGTGTGCGGAGTGTTTATTAAATTTTAATAAAATTCACCACGATCCCGTGTGCTCTCCAGCTTTCTTAACGTAGCCCAGTATCTCCCAACACCCAACATTCCCGTTTCTCTGAAGACGTTACACGTCGTCCTTTCACTTCAACTACCAAAGCCCTTCGACACCATGTGGAGCGGCGTAGGAAAGGTAATCGATAAATTCCACTTGGACAACCACGTCGGCCATCAGTATCATACCTACTATAATCCGGCTCGGATTATGGAAACTCATCCAACATTCAAATCAGCAAATACCCAGGCGTGTGAGCAAACAAATGCATGGCTGGGACGCTATAAATTTGCACTGCTCAAGATGCCAAAGTATCGCCAGCTCTTTTTCCTGCACCGGCTGATTACGAGACGTAACAAGTACTTAGCGAAGGTGTCCGCGGACAGCGCCAGCAGTCAGATGCCTTTGGACTAATAAATGCTTTGAACAGATATTACGTACTAAATCCGAATACTTCTGAGCATCGGCTACTGCTACTGTACTTTGCAGAAGTGGTTAAATCATGAGCAGAATTATCAGTTGCGAATATATTCGCTGTTTTACGTTTTTAGTTTCTCAAAGAAGTAGAAACTGTCATCTTTGGTGGCGTTTATTTTATTTCGCACGTTTATTACCCTTCGATGATTAGGCAGAGACGAGAGGGTACCGAAGCATATTTGTAACCTGAATAAATAAATGAAAAAAAGCGAATTGTAATGGGAAAATGGCCTAACCAAAGCGCATAATATAACCTGAGAATAATTACGTATACTCACGTGGTTTAAGTTTGGTTATAAGGTGGTTGCCGTGCAAGATCGCTTCGGCTGCACATAGACTGACATAGTCACTGAGGCCGAAACTCACTTGGGCCAGCACTAATTTCGGTCCGCGTTATTTCCGCAACTGAACATTTTGGAAACTTGAATTTTTTAGGTTTTCTTAGGCGTTCTTATGTTTAGAGTTTTCTTATGCTTTCTCGTGATTCTTCCTCTTTCAGGTTTGGATTTTATTAGGTTTCTCGCCTTCACTTCCTGTTGTTCTTAGTATCAATCAGATATTTCATTCGGACATTGTTGCGGTTCATAAGCATTTGACTGTTAGGTAGGCTCATTGCTTGTTGTATGACGACGGTAATGTGGGCAAGCCAGAGCGAGCGTCGCCCGATATGCACTGCGGTCGAAGTGAATGGTGGCCAAAGTGAAAGATGGACGTAGTATTTCAGCCGAAATTTAAGTGGCCGAAGTTAATGTTTCAGTGTTTGTTTTTCGAAATGGGATACCCAGGTGGTGTCCAGCCGAGTCGGCAAGCGAGGGTGTCCTTGGTTCGCTTGAAGTTCCATTGTGGTTCCATGTGGTTCTATTCCTTCCATTGGTTCACGGGATACAGCGGTAGTGGGACAGCGTGCATCCAAGTGAGAGTGCTTTTGGTTCGCTTGTGGTTCCATTGTGGTTCCATGTGGTTCCATTGGTTCCATTGGTTCACGGGGTACAGCGGTAGTGGGACAGCGTGCATGCAAGTGAGAGTGCTCTTGGTTCGCTTGTGGTTCCATTGGGGTTCCATGTGGTTCCATTGGTTCCGTTAGTTCACGGGGTACAGCGGTAGTGTGTCAGCGTGTCGGTAAGTGAGAACGTACTTGGTTCAAGTGTGGTTCCATTGGTTCAGAACCATTGAACCACTAATGTCCTAACTTGGACATTCTCTCGAGAGGAGAGGACGAACCGATTGATTTCAGCCATGGATTTCTTCCACAAAGCTTCCATTACTGACAAAAAACGTTTTTTAGTTGTATAGACAACTATTCGATCATTCTATCTGATGTGTAGTTTAGGAGCGTTCGATTACCTTGCCGGTGGTCGCCCTCCAGCATTAACAGCGGATCTTGACTCAACGCCGCATTGTTCATGGCGAAAATGTTCTCCGCTTTGAGCGTCCACGGATGCAGCGACATAAGTTTGAACTTGAAATTAGTCGAATCGCAGCTTGTCAGCACAACGATCAGGTTGTCCGTTAAAGCGTTCGGTGTTATACCTCGCAGTCGGGTAAGCGTATTGCGCAGATTGATGGTGCCTCTGCATTGTGTGCCGTTAATTACGATGACAATAGCCGACAGAGTTCCCGCTGATTGGGCTGCTTGGAGAATCTGTTGAATATTTTTTTCGTCCCGTTCCACGCCCCTGCTATCGCTCATTCCTGGAGTGTCGATGAAACGATATGATGCTGTTCCCGATTCAAAATCGTAATCCATGCTGCAAATAAATTTTAGCGTTTGATAAAATAAGAATCTGGGTGATCAAGAACTGGGTATATCGAATCGTTTGAAAAGGTGCCGTTTTTCCATTTGTTTTTACCCGTAGAAATTGAAAAGGATTTGAACTAACGTAAGTCCCAATTGCTAACTGAAAAGAAGGAAGTGCTAAACCCGCCCAAAGAACTGTGCACTCTTTTCACATGATCTTTATGAACTGCAAATATTAGAGGACTGTTCAATCTGCGTAACGGTTTTTTCTCGAAAAACGGGATTTTTTAACGAAAGCTCGTACAGCCCAGCATTAAATGTGATTACTTCTTGCCAGTGTATAATACCTAATTTTCCCTTTTAGGTTGCGCATTAATTTTGGATGCGTGCAGGTTTGCTAGAAAATTACGATTGTACACCACTGGATTAGCTACCATTACCGGTAGCACATCAGTTTATTGACCTTCGATTTACTGCTGCCCGACAATTCGCTTTCTGCAATTTTTTTCCCGGCATTTTGCGGAAAATATTCTATTAACCGACAGTATTGCATGAAATACAATACGAGTACTTCCCCTAGAGAAACGCGTTGACTGCGTTTGTGGGCGTCTTTTGTTTCTGCTTCTTGTCCACAAGCTCCACAAAGCTGGATGGAAGCTAAGGTAATTTGTAGTAATTTTTTTTAAATCGCTACCCGCCGTGTATGCCTTTTACCTGAGGCCATACGACAATTTGCAATAATATTGTATTACAAACGTAAAGTATTATTCTTAACATTTAACTCAATAAAACTTTAACTTTTATTTCGTTAAACCAAACCAGAAAAAGGTTTTCAAAATTAACAGTGACACTTTCCAATAACCTATTAACGTTTCTTCTAAAGGAGTGTGGCTACTGCAGTTGCAATATTAGAATACTAATAATATTAACGAGAAACGAGAGTGTTACAACATCAGTCTGTTCTGTCTAACTGCCATAATATAAAAGCAATTTGATAAACGTGGCCCGTCTAAGAAGCACAGAAAAGAAATGATAAATATAAAGCAGAACAATCCAAAATTTTATTTTGCCCAGTGAAAATTATTACAGAATAAAATTGTGCAACCATTTTAGTTCAGGTTTAATGACGGCAGACTTTCACGGCTACCAAACAGAACAGTGTTCTGGTATTTTTAGAGCCTAATCAACGCGGTTCTCTAGGGATCTAGGGGTACCATGCCAATATCCTTAAGTCTTAAGACTTACCACTTTTCGGTTTGGCTGGCAGTTTGATTACTGACATTTGCTTCGTGGTACTGGTATGCCTCAGTGGGCTTCGAATAGTACTCAGTCGGAATAGCGATTCGAGGTGCTGCAATATTTCCCCCTTTGAAGTAGTTGGTGAGATAATTGATCAGCGTAGACTTTCCTGATCCAGTTTCACCGATCACCAGCACGATTTTCCTGCCGCTGGATGCCGGGTTCGAAGCACCATGAGGCATTTTAATGCTAAACTGAAGTAATGCTTTTTGAAAAAGTGTTAGAAAATTTTACTACAGGTATAACGGGTACTGGTTTAAATAGGGTGATTCCGTACTGGTATCTAAACATATCTAATTTGAGATAATATTGTTTTTGGTCAGTCATCTTGTCACCTTGTGCAGACATTAGTCACAGTTGTGTTGTATGACTAATACGTTACTCATATGTTCAAAAGAAGGCAGTGTACTGAAAACCATCTAATCTGCTTCTAAGAGAAAGCATAGCGCTATCGGCCATGATTGCAACCGTGCGCCTGCTTTATTTATTATTTGCACGTAGCACTTTGACCGTAGAGTTTCTGACCCCAAGAGAGATTGCCAGAAACATCTCGTCCCCATTTCAGTTTCATCTTACAAGCAGAATTTTTTGGGGATAAAATTCTTTATTAAAATCTCCGATAAATTAATATTGATAATTTCCTTCGGTTTAGTCTTGAACAATTTTGACATGTTTTCTGCAATTTCAAACACAAACTTCACAGTTTTCACTTTTATACAAGTCAAATACCTTAGACTTGTTATACGGAATACCATCAAAATTCAGACGCGTTCTGAACGCAGAAAACATTTGATTTAAGTTGGCCTCGATCAGCACCGCGCATGATAGACTCCGCGTTGGCAGGTTAAAACGTCGCTCTGGCGCCCTGCCAGTGGCATTGCCAATAGCAGAGCAAGCGGTAATACTTGAAGACTTTGGACTGCGAATGCGAGTTTTATTGGAGCTTTTTCATCCGTTAATTGGCCAACAAGCGAATTAATGTAAGCATTTGGTTACCGAACCCGATGATCAATAATTACTGACACAATGAGTGTCCCTTATCCGCTGCACAGTGTTCAAAATGGCACGCTCCCATTAAGCGCATTCCGGCTGCACCTTGCTGACAGTTTCTGGGATGGATCGGCATAATAGAATGCACAAATAAAACTGGTCAACAAACAGTCTTCTTATCTACACCTTTGCCTTATGACAGTCTTCTTACCTACACCTTTGCCTGCCTATTAGGGCGAGGTTTCAAGCGGTTATTCATGTTGGGCTTAACATCTCATTATAAAGTGCGAAGCTTGCGCTACCAGGATATGGCGGGCCATTGGCGGCGCCATATTCTGGTATATGAGGCTTATAAATTTTTAATAAAAACATTCGTTTACGTTAAAACACAACTTTTCGTCGTGAGTGTTGATGGAGGAAACACTTCGTAACAGATAAAAAGCGAATAGCGCCGATTCAAAAAAGGCTGGGTTATGAATCCGGTCCTTTACGGCCAGCAGCGACGAAAGCGCAAACCAATTCAATTATATAACACCTCGACTCGTTATTAAAAAAATACTCCAGAAATTTATTTAAATCCAGTTCTGTCTTTGGAGGTTGACAGGTTGTCTACATAACCTACCGTTTTCGATATCGGGAAAGCTATGGAGCTAGCTCACAACGTCCAGTAGCGGTACCGCCCGACGGCGCCCGTAAGTGTGTTTTTAAAATTTTAAATAAAATTATTTTCAAAACTCCTGGGGCGATATACCTTTACCACGTTTTTGCACACGATATCGTTTCCAAATTATAATTCAGCGAACAGTGTTTGGTGAATTTTATACTAAAAGTTTTAAGTTTAGAACCTTATAATTAGTTAAGCGCATCTAAAATAAACCTTTTATCAACGCAGTAGTGTAATACGTTAATTTTTCTGATACTGCATAACGTGTGTTGCATTACTATACTTGCATACGAAGTGAGGTCTCATTTTGGCGGCATGCTAATTGCCCTAAAAGATCTAGCTGGTGGGATGTTATCGGGGTGCGAAGTGTGTTAAATAATAACAATTTTACTGCAATCAAACATTGCCGTAGGGTTTGGTTACTCGAACACGTTGCACAAACATGGGTACGGCTATCGACTGAAAATAACGGTAAGTCAGTCATTCAGATAAACACCGCAGATAATTCCCGAATTTAATGAATAACAATCTCGGCCAATGTTAGCTATAGCTGAGCATGCGCGAATACTCACCTCCAGACAGGAAATATAGGTATCACATAAGAGTGACAATGCAAACAAGGATTTTATCAACAAGAGTTCGGTACACAAGGTGCAGCGTATGCTCAATGATCAGCTATGCGATAACACAAAATCACTCCGTGGTGTTAAAACTAAATGACAAAAACTTCGCGTAATGTCATAAGTACTTTTTACAGTTCACATTCTCTCCCAACGAATGTGTATATAAGCAGCCTTCCATCAGAGCGCACTTCTGCCCATACACTATGTAATTAATAAACATTTCTACATAGCATCATGTCTAGATATCTGGTCAGCAGAGACGAATTCCAGCAGGCCGTAACCAGCGCCGGCTCCCGCAGCCGACGGACGCGCAGTACGAGAGCTTCGCCAAAGGCGCTCCCAACGGCAAAATCACCAGCCGCCGCGAGCTGGCCATGTTCCTGGCCAACATTCTCCACGAATCCGGCGGACTGCGCTACAAGAAGCAGATCTCGCCCCAACCGGAGTACGAGAAGTACTACGGACGCGGCTACATGCAGCTGACGTGGGAGGACAACTACCGCAAGGCCTCGCAGGCGCTGTACCACGATGACCGCTTGGTGGAGAACCCGGATCAGGTGGCGGACGACGAGGACGTCGCCTGGGCCACCGCCTACTGGTACTGGGGCGCCGCGGTGCATAATCATCCCGGAGTGGCCGAGGGGAAATTCGGAGAGAGTATCAGGGCTATCAACGGCAGGGAAGAGTGCCAGGGACGCAACGAGGACAAGTCCCGGGCTCGATATCGGTACTATACACGTGTCTTGGCTGTCTTCGTGCCCGGCGAGGCGCCTATCGAATCCGGATGCTACAATTAGGCCCTAACGCATATAGATATTCGCCTACCTGTTTTTGCTGCATTCCGAATAGCGAGTACTCTGATTTCCTACTTCCGCCTGTTTTTCTATTGCTGTTTGTTTTAGCATAGCTTTACCCTGATCTTAAAATATCCTTAAATTTGTTTGTCATGATGCACAACACAGATAGGTAAACAATAATTATATAAATCAGCGCGATGTCCTACGTACGTACTCATTTATAATATACCTCATGAAATATTCCACAGTTTTAAGGTTTTCGGTGTTCAGAAATAACGTGTAACAGAACCGTGTAATCACCTTGTTAACTCAAAAAGATTTGACCAGTTTGTACACAAAATCATTTAAAAGACAATTTTATAAGAGTAAATGACGTAGTATTCTGAGCTATTCGTTTACTCCTTCTAGAAGATTCCAGATTGCATTATTACTTATTCCTTAACATTCCTTGCCGTTTCAGTATTCTTATCTTTCACGTCAGTAGGTTGTTGCTTACCAAGATAATCGTCCGCCTGTTCACACGTACGTAAAGCTTAAAACATTAAAACGCGTTCCGTGTGCTGGATATTTAGCATCTGCGTACTGCATGTGTACAGTAGTTAAATGCATTTGTAAGTTTGTACCTAATTGTAAGTTGTATACTGCATTATGCATATGTCGCATTTTCTGTCCGGATAAACAACTTCAAGTTGTTTAAAGAAGCGTTGTTTTAAGATAAACGTACTTGAGCGCGGCATTAATTTTGTTAAATATGGCGAACATTAGGACTCTGGCTGCACCCATCATCTGTTTACACTGTATAAAGCAGTACGGAGTAATCGAGTTTAACATCTCTATGCGGCGGGAAAAAGCCCCATTACAACAGTGGACAAAACAGTCGGATGGACGACGTGAGGTCACTGGTGAGTAAAATAGATAACCGGGTTTACGCGTGCAATTAAAATAGCGTGGGTATGAACAATTGTGAAGATGACTCGATCGTGTGACAATGGCGCTGGGAAACATTACGACTAACATTAAGGTGCGAATATGAAAAAGGGGTGCGGAACATGGTGCAAATGGCTTTAGACAGTGTCTTTAGCCAGTTCTACTGCCGCAGCCTGTGCTGCGCTTCCATGGAGAACGAATCCCGGTATTCGCATTCTGTGATACCATCCAGTTCACTTCATGTCCAGTTCGACAGACTCAAGCTGATATGTTACGCGTTCACCGTGGAGTTGACGGAACCGGGTGCAGCGCGCCGTCCTGGCTCGTTGTCCTTGGCTTGCTGCACATACATTTTATACGTTGGGGAAAATCTACGTTACCATATTCCAGGTGCCGGTAATTAAAGGTTTTTTGCCGTGCAACAAATCCAGGATATTACTAATTACCAGTTTTTGCAAAATATTTGCGGTAAAAGCAAGTGCACACGTAAATCTGATGGCGAATCCAAATGATTTACAACATTTACTTTAAATCAAAACGAATGAAATCTAAAAATTAAAAATGTTATTTGAAATGCCTTTTGCCCAGAATTCGTTTTTTACACCCAATCAGGTTTCAACATTTTTTTCAAATTTTAAAACAAATTTAACTATTTTTGAAATGTACTTCAAAATTTCAGAAAAGTTGATAGAACCATGAGTTGGCGTACAGCGATCTTTGCAGTTGTGAGCGTTTACGTGTAAAATTTGAAGCAAGTTGTTTGGTCTATACTGAGCCCGCGTTCTGGTACACCTAAACTAATATTATTTTTTTGTTATTTTGTTTCATACATAATTTACTGATATTTCCAGTCATAACTCCCAAACCGGCTATTGCGTATACAGACCGTTTTATGCCAATGCGTACAAATCACTTGGCTATAAAATGCCATTAAACAATGCAAAAAAGTGTCTGGTACCGTGCGGAAGCGAAAAGTTTCTACGCATGTATTGATGTATACAATTTTGTCATGCTATGACGGTATGTATGTAGTATGTAGCTGTTCGTTAGGTCATGCCTTGGATCGGCACAGGCTTCTGCGTGATAAATCATTCATTTTTATAAAACAGTGAAAAGAGAAATGGTATCCATGTATCTCCCAAGCGCCAGTACGGCAATCTTATCACATCAATTCGGCTGTGGAGTTCTGGCGATCAGTGAGTTGACGACAATCGCCCGGGTTGGGATCTGCGATGGACGCTGTCTCCACGGGTTGTCGGCACACCGGACAGTTGCGCGAATAGGTCGTCAGCCAGGTCGTCAAGCACGCCGAATGACCCACTGCAAGAATGCAAGTACCATTACAACTCAATTCGACTTCCCCGATTTGTAGAGTATTCGGCCATTTCACAACGAATGGTCAGTACTATTTCTTAAGCAAATAAAGACTGCTTTAATTTTAAGCCAACAGCAGCTGGTATAGCACTGTCAAACAAAAATTACGATCGCAAGCGCAAAGAAAATTGAAATTATCTCTCATAAATGCAACGGGAACGAGTATCCGACGAATTTACCATGAGAACAGGACAAGACGATTTTAATTTCGTCCACAACAAACGTCTGCTGACATGTCGGACAGATGTCGTCCGATTCCTCCGTGACCTTTACTTGCGTCAGTCGCTGCATTTCTGCCGGTGTCAGCGGAACGCCGTTGGCTTGCACGTGCTCTGCCTCTTCCGCGGCCTGGACGCGGGCGATGAAGGCCTCGATAAAGCGACGCACTTGCTGCTCGCGCAGAATCAGAATGCGCGCTAACTCATCTTCAGCGGCGGCTTGCGCCAACGCCTGAGCGATCTGTGATTAAGCACTTCCTTAGATTTTTTCTGTGACACGGTGCATTGAAGAAGTAACAGACCATGACTTGTTCGGCTGCTGCTTTCGCAGCTTGACGAATCTGGTGCCGTCGATATGCGAATCTCATCAGCCAGATAACAGCGCCGATAACAAATGAGGGACCGAGGATACCCCAGAGTAATGCGTTGCTGTCAGATGAAGAACCGGAGCTGCTGGTAGGCGCGCTCGTCCACGTCGGGCTCTCGTAACTCGGATACCTGTTTTCAAGGTGACATCGAAACGCGTTAATTACTTTGCATATTGCTTGTTCGCCAAGAATAATTACGATTTTAGAAATTTATTTGAACTAATGCTTGAACGGACTACGCAAAAAATCTCTGATTGAATGAAAATTATTTATGACCTTTAGTATGCTTTCAAAAAAATGCAGTAGATCATTATCAAATACAGTTTTCAATTATTTGAACGGAAATCAAAAATCAATATGATTCGCTTTTTCAAAAATGAAATGAAAGAAAAATTTTTCTTAAGTACAAATGAGCAGAAAAAATATTTACTCACGCAACGCGGGGATGGTAACCGAACCTGTCGGTTGGATCGACCACCACCGAACTAACTTTCACTTTGTACAGAGATCTGTAAGAAAGGCGCACAATATTCAACTAGTAAACGCATATTGCGAAGCATGGAACAAGATTCACTAAGAAAGAGAAAATCCAGGTATACCGAGAAGACGTATTGTACGCGTACTGCGCCAGTCGCGCTCCGTCGTCGTGTCCGACGAAATGCACGGCAATCTTGATGAAGCCGGTAATGTTGACGGGAATCGGCCGGGGAACCGGCGTCGTCCGCGGCCACTCCTCATAGTATGAGTGCGCTCCGTCCGCCATCTCCGGGAGGACCTTCTCTTTACTGTAATCGGCGTACACGATGATGCCGCTGTAGCCTTTCATTTGGGCGTTGAAGATCTTTGCGACCACTCCGCTGCCATCACTGCCCGTGGTATTCCGATAGCCTTCGAACGGTTAACAGCTCCGTGAAGCGTTAATGCTAGCTGACGCCCGTACATCTTTTAAAACTTTAATTGTCGGAAACCTCATAATTAAGTAGGGTTACATTTTTGATGGCATTTTATTTCCAAATCATTTGCGTACATTAACGTGAAAAGCGCTTCATTGCGAAGTTTTAAAAAGGAATGAGTACCAGACCAGTTACCGGTGCGCTGTCCTATGCTTTTAGCCCGGCAATTTAATTCGCCTTATTTATATCACTATGAACGAAATAAAGGTGGCAGTCATTTTTATCTCTATTTGACAACGATATAAAACAGTGCAGAAAACTTTTACTAGGGCGTTAAAGCAGACTCAATGTATTAAACGAATGTATTGCGCTGCAACATTTCCCCCCTTTTTATAAATTGTTAAAATACCGTTTTGTGGAGCACACGGTGCGTCGTTAGTGAGTAAGAAGAACGGAGCTGCTCGGTTGTCCTCCCACACGCGCGGCGCCGGATCCACATCGTCAGCGTTGCAGGCGTTCTCTGGATCGGCAACGTACAGATAACTCTAAAGATTAGCACAGGGCGTCAGGTACACCGAATAAACTGTGTAGTTTTCTCCGGATTTCCGACCGAAATTTACAATGGACGTTTTAGCCTTGAGGACATTTTGAACGGTTACAATAGCAGCGTTGCAGTCAACACGACCGACATATTCGGTTCTCCTGTTTTCTAATATTATTATTGCTCTGCAGACAAAGCCAAGCAACGCTCACCGGAATATCGCGGTCGCGTCGGCCAGCGAGGGACTGGTGGTTATTGAGAACCTGGTAGACCGGAACCCAGGTATCTTCGGCAACGTCTCGCTCGTACACGAGGATCACGCCACTGCCACGCTGCAGCAGCGGGGATAAACAGCACAGACTCAGAAAAAATCTTGCCGCGCATCGCCGCATGTCGTATTCGGTCTCCGTGTGTGACGTCATTGAGGTGGCGGTGGCAGCAGCTCGAGCGATCGATCGTTGCTGTAAATGCAGTTAAGCGATCGTGGCTGTAAATGCTTTTTGCATCTCTCTCATTGCAAGGAATAAGGAAGCAATTTCTGTGGTTTCGCTAATTCAGTCGGAGCATATTCCGAATCACTAACAGGTATCTGTTATTTTAAAAAAAACGGAAATCTTGTCAGTACATTTTTCGAAATTAAGCGAATGAAGTTATGCACGTTTTTGCATCATCACTATGATACTTGTATAATGCAGTTCAGTCGGCCCGGTGATTACTGATTACATACGACATGCATGACAGCTTTACAACATCGCTGGTTGCTTTCTTGCTGGTATGTTTTGCAGTTGCGAAAAACGTGTTCCGCTTGTCTACCGGCTCCATGCAGAAAAACCGTGTTTGTTGAGCATACGAAAAAAATCATGAGCGTGGATGCCCAAAGGCGCATCCTTCTCTGACGAGTGGACGATCGTCGATGAATTGCTTGTGCAAGGACGATTCACTGAATTGCTTGTGCAAGGTGCATTAACTGCCGTTGAGCCTATGATTATTATTATAGTATGATATCACAACTGATTCTTGTGGCTACCTTGAAATAAATTAACGCTTATCGGTGTGGCCGCCACTGGCCGTGTGCTTTACTGTATCTGGTGGTGGTGACGTGAAATAAAGACCTAACACAGTGAAGTGGGTACTGTATCCACTTGTCCGACCACGTCCAGTCGGATAGAGCGACTCTGTCTCAAACTGTTACGGAAGATGGTAGAAGATAACGTAGATCTGGTAAGGTAGGAAAGGAAAAGAAGAAGAGGTCCGGGTCCTGCAAACACAAGAAATACACACGACGGAGAAGTATACGTTACCTGTCCGACGCTAGATGTTAGCCGAAGCGATAAGAGAGATATCCATCAACCTGGCGCTACAGGGCATGAAGATGATGAAGAGAACGAAAGGTCACGGCAAATCAAGTGGGATCAAATGGGTAACCTGTTACGTCACGAGATTATCCGAAGATGATAATGCACGTCGACGAGATAGAGGAATGACCCCTGACAATAGGTGAAAGGTCCGACGAGCGATTTATATAGCCCTGGGCACCGCAAGTGCTGGCTCTTCGTACACGCAGGTACGGGTCAGAGAACAATAGGGATTTAAACACTAACCAATAAGAGACATCTGAGGACACGTGGACTAATCACACAGCTGCATCACTACACGTGGACTAATAAGAACAAGAGGTTAGCTAATACACTAGAACAATAGGTTGAGCTACGTCATCGAAGCGCGGTCACGTCGAAATGGCAAGTCGCGGTCAAAGTTCTCTGCTGGGGATTTCTGAGAAGTCGGCACTCGGAGTCGCGGTCATGACTCGCGTAGAAGCTGTAGTAAGGAGTAAGCCTAAGCCTTGGGGCAGTAGTAGAGTAGTACGATGTGGACGGGGCTGGTACGCCCGTACACGTCAGTGGCACCGACGTGCCTTTCCCGTGATCGATAAGCAGTTTTCCGTTGCGTATATCGCCATTCTCATCTTATTGCAACGATCGTCATTTTGTTATTTGAATTTCACCGTGCAATCGTGTTTGCGATAGTATTTGCCGGCCGGTAAACAAGAGAAACTGCAGGTTGAGTTGAATTTCAGCTTAATCATCGAGCGTTCTAAATCTGGCCAGCAGAAAATTATTTGAGCAACCACAGGCAAAGTACGACCTACCATCAAAGGCAGTCATATTCTACGGATATCCATAGGACCATATACGATACAAAGAGCCTAAATTTATAATGCATCTGGGGGTTTGCAGCCGTCGTGGAAACTTACATTGGAGCTACGCTAGGGTTTGTGAGACGCATACGAGCCAGGAGTATCACACTAGATCGTGATAGTCTATATAATCCAATCCGGCTATATAGTTCAACAGATCAGGCGAAAGTGCGACGGGATGGATAATGTCAGCCGGGCTAAGTTCAGCGGTTAATTCAGTGACTACGGGTTGTCTACACACGGGACAGTTGCGCGAATAGGTCGTCAGCCAGGTCGTCAAGCACGCCGCATGACCAACTGCAAAATAATGCTGGTAACTACGCCCACACTACTGCGCTCTATTGCCAATAGGGCTTACAGCATACAATCAATTTGGCTAGCACAGTCCGTAAGTATCGTGTCTTATCAGATTGCGCTATAATATAAGTTAAGTAAGAGAGAGTTAGGTGATCCGTCTGTAACCGGAGATACCGTCCACGGTCTATTTTGCCCACATAGCTTTTTCTAGAACTTTTCGATACTGATAGCTGTTGAGCAAGTGTTCATTCGGGAAGTCAACTTAATTGAATTTTTTCAGTCGGACGGCGATTTTGGCGGTCGAGCAACAAAGGCGCTCGATTGACTGCAAATACTATTTTACGAAATACTTTGCCGGTTTTGTATTTGCACATGACGTTTGCATTTCACTAGTTAGCTGTCTCGCTTACCGTGAAAGCAGGGCAGGATGACTTTTATTTCGTCCACGGCGAACGTCTGCTGGCAGGTCGGACAAACGTCGTCGCACTCGTGGGTGACCTTTACGGGCGTCAGCTGTTGCATTTGCATTTGCGTCAGTGGGGTGTCGTCGGTGTGCAGCGGCACTCCTCCGGCAGGTAGTTGGACAGGCACCACAGGGGCCTCGGTATACTGGTGGTCTGTCCGCTCTGGATCAGCCGCAACGCCCGCCATTTCTTCCCCAGATGTGGGATGTGCGGCAACTTGCGGGTTCTGCATGCAACACGCGTGCTTTTTCAGTTACAGACAGTACACGCTGCCGCTGGTATAAACTGGGATATTACAGCATTGGTTCCATATGCGGATTATAATTAAGTACTGTACATAGTAACCGTGGCGTACCGAAACACGGCACAAATCTGATTCCAGCTGCTGCCACCAACAGCACAGTCAAAGTCGAAGCAAAACACTTTGTAACACCGCGCTTCTGTACATGACATAAACAAACCCTATTCGTAACTCGCAAGATCTTAGCTGCTCGATTTCTTTCAGTTTCTTTCAGTTTGTACTTACCGTCGGCTGTTCGGCGGCTCTATCCGCGGATAGACGAATTCTGCACTTCGGACATCCACAGCAACACCACCATAAAGGAACGCAAACAATCACGACCGTAAAGACGCCAAAGATTGTGATCATAGCGATTCCATCCGATAAAGAGGAGGAATCGCTGGGATACGGTGAACTCGTTGTTGTCGGGCGGAAATTTTCATCTTTGGGATACCTGTGATGGTTTTCCCGGCGTTAGCAACAACAAGTTAGTTTTTATCCTTGATGGTACTTACAAGTTTTCGGTAAAATTTGAAAACATTCACTCACTGCATGGGGTACCGGGAGCCGCTACTGGAGGACAGATCGTTCACTACGGAACTGACGCTCATTCGGTACCTTAATAACAACCGGAAAGTTCAACTGCCGCCAACATCGTCATTCAGGTGTGAGAAGTAAGCAGAGCGTATGAAGACGTATTATAAAGGGAAGAAGCTCCTATCATGTGCGTACCGGGTCCGGGCGAACGGATTATACCCATACTGCACCAGTTGCAGTCCGTAATCGTGTCCGACGAAGTGCACCGCAATGTGGATTCGGTCGGCAATGTGGGCGGGGATCGGCACGGGGAAGGGCGTGGTCCGCGGTGGTATCGGCCCGGATCCACTCGGGAAAGCTCTCTCTTTAGAAATGTGAGCGTAAATGATGATGCCGCTGTAACCTCGGTTCTGAGCGTTGATTAATTTAACTGTCACTCCGCTGTCGTCGCTGTCGGCAGTATTGCGGTTGCCTTAAAACACACACGTGGAGCGCATAGTTACTGGTACTACATGGCTACTGGCTACACATTAATATCTACTGTATCTTTCACTTTTGCCAATCTAATATGGATACATATGTGTTCGATATCGCAGACAATTTTTTTCATTATTTTGCCGTGTACTGTATGTACCGCTCTGCGGAGAACATGGTGCGTTATTTGTCAGCAAGATGAACGGAACCAGACGGTTGTTCTCCCACACCTCAGGTGCCGAACCCACATATTCGGCATTGCAAGCGTTTTCGGGAGAGGCAACTTGAAGGTAGCTCTACACAGATTTCTAAAGTCAGCCAAAGATTCCTCGCACTGTTCGACATAGCATAGAGGCTAAAGAAGCCCATCGGGGTTGTCAACCCTAAGGTAACTGTGATTTCACTTATGTTTCTCGGTCACTTCGCGTTTAAATATTTTCCATGAACTGGTTATCCGCGTATGACCGTATCTTTCTTACCACCGCAACAAAGTTTTTTGCAAATATTCATTTTTATTAGTATAATTTATTGCTAGTGAAAACAGAATCCAACATTACTCAGATCAACGCGGTTCTCTAGGGGCTGTATTGTATTTAATGGATACTTTAATAGGCAATAGCCGTCAAAGTATTGTATTTAATGGATACTTTAATAGGCAATAGCCGTCAAAGTAACAAGAAGTGCAAGCGCAGGCACACTACGTTACTGTTAAAAATTATATTAGGTTTTCTAAACTTGCGTACTTCCGTCGCTTCGCACTTTCTGCTAGGTGGGCCACACTGCCAGCCTTCTTCGAGCTCCCGTGGACATGAGAATTGGCCACAGTGCACCAACTTGTCGCATCCCACACTATTGGCATTCCTTGCTGGACAGGAATCAGCGTCATACCATCAGGTCTTGTCCCGTCGTTTGATAAGCCCACAGGTTCCAACTGACACGGAAAACCTGCACTTTCGCAGCAACTTTTAGCGATGCTGTTCATTTCTCTGTGTCGCGCCCAGCGTCCTTTTGTTGATTTATTGCAGGAGAGTCCATGATGGCCGTTTATTTCTACAGCTTTTCCACAGGCGACGCAGTTATGTGCAATAACTGCTGGTAAGCCAAAACGCAAGGCCACTCCAATTCTTACTTCTTCATCTCGTAAAAATGTCCCAAGACATGGCGCCGGCAGCGCGTTTAACCATGCTCCTGAATCTCTACTGAACGCTGCTCATAGCACTGCTCTCCTACGCTCATCGCCGACCGTTGACAACATTAGCGTCGACACATCTCGGTCAATCATCGGCGTGTCCCAAACATACTGACACCTTCGTTCGCATTCTTCTGGCAGCATACACTTGGTGTTCGTTAGCCAGCACTCCAAAGCCGATTGCGTCAGACACTCGCCAGCCGGCGTGTAAAACCTAGAAACAAGAGACTGCACAGAGTACACCGATGCCAGAAAGGCACACACAGCTAGTGACTCAATGCGTCGCGTTCCCAGTCCACCACGCCGAACCGGTAATGCCATCTGCATCCACTGAGCTTCGGATATGCTCACATTAGATAACTGCTGCACGCCCTTACGTAGCAATTCATCGTAATCTCGGAGTAGTGCCGGGAATTCGTAGCATCGGGAAGTCCGTAAGCCGAATAAAACTTTCGGTATACTGAGACAGTTTTTTAACAGAAAAAGGCTGTAGTGGGATGGCAGTTTCGAGAGCCGCTGTACAAACTTGCTCAGCTGTTCTTTCTTTTCAGTTAGAAATTTCTCGCAGCCGGCCGGCTTAAGAGCCGCGCCGAGTAGAGAAAAGTTATCATCACTTAACCGTACCATGTCGGGCCATAGTTCCAGTAGTTGTTTACCCGCTTTCGCTGATGGGTTTAGGACATAAAACTCACACTTGCTAAAATTCAGCTCCAGCCCCATCGCAATTCCCCTTTCTTCAATGCGTTGTATAGCGGCAATTACTTTCGAAACCGTACCAGCAAGAGTGACATCGTCGAGGTAGCCCAAAAACAGATCACAGTCTAGACCGTCGAACAGCGGCAGCGTTGCGAGACCATATCCAAAGGGGCCCGATGGATCGCCCTGTTGTACTCCCCGGGCGGACGACAGAACTTCATCTCCACATATCAAGTGACTTGCAAACCGATAAGACTGCCAGAAATAGTTGTAATATTGTGGAAAATGCTGCTTTACAGCTTCCAACAAAGTATCCCGCCGTAAAAGATTGAACGCATTCTTGAAATCAAGCTTTACCACAACCCGCTCTCCGTCGTGTGTAGTCTCAAGATACGATCGGACCCCGTGAATGACCGCCTCGGCTCCGCCTTTTGTACCACATCCATACTGCACAGTGTATTTAATACAATACAGACTATTGTATACAGTATCTTCACTGTATACAATACAGTGAAGCCCCTTGAGTAGGGCAGTGCTCAGATCTATGGCAGTCCACGTACCGGAGTACTGCTGCCGTGGCCAGCGATGGCTTGATAATTATTGGGAATGTAGTAGACGGGCACCCAGAAAACGGTGGCGTCATATTGTCTGTACAGACTGTACACCTGAATGAGACCGTTGCCAGACTGTATTAGCCAGGCCCAGTTACACCATCCCAGAAGAAATCTTGCGATGGGCGAAGGCATGATTCCCTCTACTTCCTTATGCAATCACGTGGACCAGTATGATCCACTCGTAATTTGGGTCGGTCTATAGTTGCAACAAACGGCAGGCGTCCGTTCGGCATTACAAAAATCCAATAACCTACGCTACGTGAAATTTTAATGTAATAGGATCATATTTCAATGTAATAGGATGTAATATTCCATTATGTTGTTACCACTACCGTTAAACTGGCCGAGAATTTAAAAGGAATACGGAGCGCGAAATAATTACATCAGCACGTTCTAAAATATAGCTAAAACTCAGGAAAAAACCTGTACAGTACTACTAAGCAGCGCGCAAATAAACTGATCCACAGGCAGGTGACTTCATGCGTGTATTCATCATGTAATGCAACATACCTACTGCAACGTTGCTGGTACCTTTCCAGCCGGAATTAAACTTGTTCGACAACTGCAAAAATCATTATGTCTCGACTGTCTACCGGCTGTGTACATGTGCGCAAGGACGATGTTGTGTTGATTGTAATGTTGGTATTTATTATTAATGCAACTTCGACGCGTGACCAACTGCTTATTAATTGCCCGTATATCACGCGGCACGGAGCGTATGACATCATTTCTAATTCTTGTGACGATTGACGATAATAAGAAGAAAATAATTTAGTGCTGCTGATGCTATTTCGGTGGCAAGTCCACTCAGTGGCTGCGATGTACTGATATTGCGTGGAAACCTAAGAAAAACAGCGTATTGAGCAATGGTTTTGGTTTGTGTCATTTATAGTTGATACACGCAGCATAGAATAATCACTCGTTTCCGGCGCGGAGCATATGCAGAGAGGTTCGTCGCCATGCGCACAGACTTGCTAATGAACAGTATTCTGCATGGACCTCACATGCCATTTTGCCGTAAATGCAACCATACCAAAGATTTTCTTGCACCGTACAACTGGAATAAAAGCATCATTTTATAATGTGACACTAAACGTTGACGAATGACGATCAAGAACAAAAGTAAAGGAACTGCCAACTTTGAACCGGGAAGAGCTGCCTTAACCTAGATCAGCACACGGGTTCAGCCTTAAAATGAGACGCTTTCATGAGCAGATGGTCAGCCGGGGCGGCAAAGAACGCCGCACGAAGAGAACTGACACCACTGACGTAAAAGGCGTGATTATGGTTCTGCACGGTTGCCACGACGTGAGACTTATGCTCTTTAACCTGTTGCAGTTAAATATCAAGCACACAAAGATAACAGAAATACACCGTGGGTACACGATGGTACGTCGCTCGTTCGCGCCATGAGCAACACTAACAGTTTCCGAGATAAGCTGAAGATAAATTTCTTCAGAATTACAAAGCAACAGGCAGCTATACTGTCGTTCAACAATTTCCGCGTCGTAAGAAACAACCCGTTAACGGAGCGTTAAATTTTTTCCAAGCCATTGTTCTCGCTGTGGTCAGTCAGGCTACGTTTTAAAAACGTGGTATTGCTCGTCCAGCTTGGTGCAGCTTTGGAAAAAATTTCTGCGCTTTGACGCAGCCGTGGTTTGCAGCGCGTGCAAACCATCTGTTAGCTGCTTTCTGGTTCTGTGTTACAGCAGCTTGAACAGCATCATGTGACAGTGACTAGATAAACTCCCAACCAACGGTCTTACAGAAGCGGGCAAACTCTTTTTCCCATTCCTCGTTGCCATATAGGGCGTCCCGGTAGGCGCGACCTATTTAGTACTCAGCTTCAGCCACTCCTAGTGATTTAAAGCTGGCAGATTTAAAGCTGATCTCCAACGCGATGGGCAATCCGTCACCCGTGATAAGGCGGTAAAACTTTTTAAGCATCACTGTCATCCGGAAACGAGAGGCTCCGAGCCGTTTACTCAAAACCTCTCCTTGCCGGATGACAGGGCTGGCTTGCCATGTAGTTCCAATGATCGATCTGCCCGAACAAATTTACACCAGTCAGAAGAATGTATGAAAGCATTGACAGTGCAACGGTAAAATTACGGTTGGCGCAGTTACTTGTGAAATTGTGCTGCAGAGATAAACCCGCTTATGTAGTTTACAAAAAGTTACCCCGTGAAACGCAGCAATCGCAAACCTGATGCAACTCGTGTGGATAATTCGAAAATTAATAATAACATTGCTGCCATGGTGTAAAATTGTAAATACAGTCTAGATAAATGTGCAATGCAAAGGCATCGCAAAAACTCTTGCAAAAGTGTATTACTGCAGCTTTGACTAACCAGCAAGTGGATCATACATTTCGCTGCCTTCGGTAATAGAACGGCTTTTGCCGATCATGTTCTACAAATCTAACATTATTAGGCTTTGTAGCGTTGATTAAGCGGATATTAACGCCCAACGACACAAGTAAACCAGCAAAACGAACAAAAAAAATTGCACACGGAAAGTAATCATATATGCTAACTTCAATTAGCCACGCCGCCGTCTGTTGACTGGTGGGCGCGGGGAAGGCTGATACAAGTACATTCGGAACGTGCTTCGTGATATTAGAAAATTAACAATCTGCCCACTTTGTTGTCGTCGCTTTGCGTTAACGGAGCACGCACACAATTGTAAACACGCAGCCAACAGCTCCAGTCAGAATGAGTGCAAAGATTTGCCAGTGTAGCTTGAACGTTACCTCTTAAGCTGCGATGGCAAATATTGTACTCGTTCTTACTGAAAAAGATGAGTAAACCTGGTTTAGCTGTTCTACTGTTCTGTCCATGTTTTTCAGCTGTTCGGGACGAGCACAACAGTCTAACTAGGTTTGCGCTTCCGTATGAAAATACGACCGTTCCATGGCCATTTGAATCAAAAGAATAATCGGTTATGCGTAAATTAACACCGCGGCTTATGCAACAGCAGGGAACTCCTGCGGATAAGCACGGGGATAATCCCGCGCTATTATGTAAGCATCAAAGATATAAGTAAGATTTATGGATAAATAAATTTTATTTATCCATAAATCATTGTGAACGGGGCGGTGGAAAAGGAAAGGTCACGAAGTATTACACTACTGCTGCAACGTATAACACAATGAGGAACGGACGTGAGGTTGCAGCGATCCGCGGTCGGGAAAGTTGGAAATGCAGGTAAGCAGTCACAAAGCTAGGGAATCAGGTAACACAGTCCTGTCGGCACTGTTTGCTACTGTTTCTCTTTCAATCGGGCATTTCGCCTTCTGCTATACAGTATACAAATGCAGCCACGCGGTCCTCGGTGTGCGCCTGCCGAGCTGGAGAGAATTTGTTTTGTCGGGTTCGACGGAAATATCGTGATGGGGACGTGCTACCTCTGACAGGCATTTCACGAAGTGTAAAAGTTAGATGTTATGCAGTTCAACGAATGCAAAACATTCGCATGATATTGGGTTGCGAACACCAACCGTTATGTGTGCAGTGCACACATTCCGGTTGATGCACTATACGTCAATGCCAAAACGATCGATCGGATCATTTCCCCTCCCGACGGAGCTGGTGTCCAATTCGGCGCTGCCAGTGCAAACATGCCGCTGTTTATTGCAATAACTGGTCACGGATACGCTGCACTGGCTATAAATATTTTCGAAGCTATTAAGGTTAACTGTACCAGCACTTTTTGATGGGCATAGATGCGACGACATAGATGGTTTTTTACTCTTTAGATTTTCAGTTTGCCGATATCAATCTTTGGTCGGGAAAAACGCGTCTGTTATTTAATACCGCATATTAAAAATAAATTGACTGAAATATTGTACAGCTGCAGTGCCAAATCAGCGAAAGAAATTTTCTCATATAACTGGAATTTGCATTGTTTGATTATAAATGATTATCACACTATATCGGCTGAGTACAGTGAAACCTCTTCTAAAATAAACTTCTTTATAAAACGACAAAAACGTTTTATTGATCAGTACGTAGCGAAAAATGCAGTACGAAAGTGTCGGTTGACAATAACAACATCTTTATAAAATACCCTTCTGGTCTTCTCTATTACATACATACAAACTGTAAGGAACCAGATCGGCTCGTAGACTGTAACATAGGGGGGACTCTTTATAGCATTCACCTCTTTATAGGCCTTACATACACTTTTCGTGGAACCGAATGCATATTTACCGGTTTAGAGAGCCTTTGCATAAGATTTAGCTCCGGTTTTATACGGCTAACCAAATGCAGTTTGATGCAGTGAGATCACATCAGTCAGCAGAATAATAACAATCAACTCAAACATCGTTTGTGTTAACAGAATTAAATTAATTTTACGAATGTTAACGTTGGGCAATGCTGGGGAACTGCAGCCGTTACCGTCGCACGCAAAGCGTTACATGCTCCGCGAGTTCGGAAGCGTTACAGTTATTACTTACACTTTCTGAAAAGCCTTTTTATACTTACGCATATTGATCTTTTTTTTAAAAAAAATGTTAATGATTTGGTTTCATCAGAATCTTGTTATGGGAATTGAGTTGTCTTGTGTATGTACTTGCTGCTGTCTTGTTAATTGTTAAAGCAATAAAATCTTGCTCTGCCCTCGCCCCCGCACGCCCTTAATAAATACCACAGCCCCATGGGATCAGTTTTCCTGCATAAAATCAACCCCGAAATAAAATACAAAATGGATGGAGCCGGGCCTGTATTATAGAGAGGTTTCATTGTAGTTCTGAAAGTCAGAAGGAAGTGCGCCGGGATTGAAGTCGCTCGGGTTGGATTCCGCGGTTGATTCCGTTTCCACGGGTTGTCGGCACACGGGGCATTTGCGCGAAGAGGTCGTCAGCCAGGTCATCAAGCAAGTCGAATGGCCAACTGCAAAAAAATGTTAGAAATTGCTAGTACAACTGGGCTCTTGTGCTGACCAAGTGATCCACGCTTATGAAAAATAGTAGTTCTAGAACATTGCGCTCTGATCTTTTGCAATATTCATGGATAACGTAACCGTCTCTAGGCGACAAACCCGTTCACAAAAGCATTGCGAGAAACTTTGTTCTTGCATTAGCGTAAAACCAGCTGTTACAGGGTGCTTTCACAGCCTCAATATGTCTGCTCTCCTTAGTCCTTACAAAGACAACCACCCCATTGTGGAGCTCGGTGTAGTTACTGTTTTGGCGGTCACATTCCTTGGTTAGCCCTGGAACTTACCGTGAAAGCAGGGCAGGATGATTTTCACCTCGTCTACAGCAAACGCATGCTGACAGATCGGACAGACGTCGTCGGATTCTTCGGTGACCTTGACTGATACCAGCCGTTGCATTTGCGAGAGTGTCAGGCGGGGACCGTTGGCTGGCACGTGCTCCCCTCCGGCGGGCTGGAAGCCGTTTGCGAAGGTCTCGAAAAATCGGCGCGCTAGCTGCCTCCGCAATTCGTTCGCGGAATTAAGGAAGCGAACCGGGGTTAAAGAGGTCACGCCAAATCGGTGCCTCCCCAAAGCCTGAAAGTTTGACTGGTCACAGATGCGCTGGATCATTTGTTTTACTACGTGGCCCCAGTGTTACATCACTTATCCACATAATATTATTTGGAAAACAGCGTATTAATTACCGTTACGTTAAAAACGGTTTGAATTCTCTAGGTACATTCGGAACAGTTTGACAAGTGTTTGAAGGGTTCACGTGAGATCGTACATGTCAGTTTGAATTAGCAAAACCCCAATAGAATCGCTTGATTTGGAGTTTCGCAGTGGTCTCACGAATTCTGCATGTGACCTGTGCAAGCAGTGCTACTTGTGGACCTCTACTTGTACACACCTGGTCCGGAAATTGAGGCTGTTCGAAGTTAGTCAGATGTTCGGCTGTTTGACTGTTCGGCAGATCACATACTTGTTGGGCTGCGGCTTGGCGGTTTTTTCGTCGCCGGTAGGCACATCGGACTAACCAGAGGAGGACGCAGAGAGCAGCGGCGGAAAGGATCGTCACCACACCTATGGTTCTATCAACCAACGGCGACGCGGATTCGTCGATGCTGAGTTGACATACTGCGTAGTTTGTGGACGGTTGTAATCACTTCTATGGTGACATAAAAATCATAAAAATACAGATAATTAATCTCGTTCCTGATGTGCTCAGGTTTCTTGATAAACATAACGATTGTCACTTACTGGACGGGGAACCAGTGAGCTGAAGTGCCGATATCCTCGGAATTAGCTCTCAGTCGATATCGACAGGAATTGTATGAAGGAGAACCAGCGACCGGCCGGAATCTACGGGGAAGCCGCAAAGCTGTATTAACCAAAGTACTGATGATCTGCACAGTAACACATTTTACGCGTATTGCGTCAGTTGCAGTCCGTAGTCGTGTCCGACAAAATGCACCGCAATGCATATTTGGTCGGCAATATTGGCTGGAATCGGCATCGGGAAGGGCGTGATCGGTGGTTGCGCAGGACCGGGAACAACCCGCTCTCCGTTGGTAATCCACGGTGGGGCTACTGTCTCTTTGGAGGCATCTGCGTAAATGATGACGCCGTTGTAGCCTTTGCTCTGGGCGTTGAAGATCTTTGCCGTCACTCCGCTGACGTCGTTGCCGACTGCAATACGGCAGCATCATAATCGCAAACCGACTAATAAAGCGTACATGGCAACGCAGGCATTTACGGGATTGCGTCTATTTCACTCTCACGGCATGCACTTTTAGGATTATCATTTATTAACAAATTAATTATCAAATAATTATTTATTTATTTATCAATTTATAAGAAGTCTATGTAAATTATTAAATGAAAAATATGTATTATCCTAGTAATGATTTTTAAATGTTTGGTTGTTAATAGCAACCACATTTCATGCCCATTTTTCCACAATTTTTTTACTTTGTACGGAAGATTTGTGTGCGTTGAGGAAGAAATCGTTTGTTTGCAAGACAGCCGGTTGCTGATATGTCGACAATTAAAATACTCAGTACATGTAGCAAGTCAATTTATTTTGTTTATTAAATAATAAAGAACATGTCAGGAAGACACGCATACGAATCTGGCCCGGTGTGCATATCACATTCTTCAACTGTAAAATTACCAGTTTGTGGGAAACAGGGCGTGTCATCCGTCAACAAGAAGAAGGGAACCAAGCGGCTGTTTTCCCACACCTGCGGCGCCGCTTCGACAAGTTCGCCATTGCGGTCGTTTTCTGGAATGGCAACTCGAAGATAACTCTAAACACGTATGTGGGGTTAACGAAGTCTTAAAGAACCTCTACGAATTGCTGTAAACCATTAGCAGATAGTCATTTACGTCGGGAGAGCGAAATAGCAGCCGGTCAGTACATCTGTTTTTTTTTATCGACATCGACATGGAAGTTAAGTGGTACGCGCACCATTACAAATTATTCTTCGCGAATTTGCTTTTGGGATCAAAAACTGCGCCGTAACAACTTACCGGAACACCGCTGATACGGCCAGCGATGGCCTGATAATTGGGAAACTGAAATGCGGGAACCCAGACACTTGAGTCGTCATTTCCGCTGTACACTTCAATTAAGCCATGGCCGGGCTGCACCAGCCAACTCAGTCCCAAAAGAAAACCTAGGAAAAATGGTCCCTTCCGCATGTGATCACCCAAGGATTCGGACTAACGTGGGCTTCTGACAGCCGAGCTCAACTAGTGGAATCCGATGGGTGCTGTAATCACGAGCCACACTTTCCTCATTGCGATAAGTAATAAGCTTATGCAGTATGAATTTCTACGACGAGCATTTCAAATTCTAGTAACTAAACTTGCGCAGGAAACAATCTTGAAAAAAATCTAAAGAGAAAGAAATAAGCCGTTGTAGCACATTCTCGGAGCTTAGCGAATAACCTTGTGCAAGCTCCTTTTATAATCACAACAGCGCATACGGCGGAATTGCCAGTAAGTGCATTAATAGCGCATGATGCGCACCATATATGATACGCACGATGCTGGTTTTTAACTGGATAACGAGTTCTATTGCATCATATCGAGCGGCAAAAGACATGATGCAATTGTCTACCAGTTTTACGCACATGAACCGTGTTTTTTGCGCGTATGGGAAACAACAGTAACGTTCATACCTGCCGGCGCATCCTGCTCCAAAGCAAAGCCGACTGTTGATTATTTTGCTCGTATAATGAGCGGAGCGAATGACATCGTCTTTGAATCAAATGGCGTTCATGAAATTATTTATTGTAATAAAGCGTGTTTGCGGTACCCTGGTGGCAACTGAAATCACTGCCATCGTACTGGTATGGCAGTATGGCACTATAGTCCAAGATAAAAATTAACGGGGAAGATTTCTCTGATGGGAGAAATCTGTTGATAAACGCCCACCTGAACTTGCAGCCTCTCTCTGCCCTTTAACCGCTCGCCTACCTCCTACTACGCCGGATCCGGGTTACTTGCGCCGCTAAGCCTATAAAAGCCCCTGCACACCGGCTGCCGGCTTCATTACTGCAGCTAGTTACTTGCAAAAATTTTCTGAAATTTTTTGACTCGCACTTTGCAAAAGTTTTCGGTTCACGTAGTGAATCACGCAGCTATTCATTATGGCACCATCTGCTTCCGACTATAAGAATATGTCGCTTTCCGCTCTGAGAGCCGCCTGTAAAGACGCCGGTTTATCTGCCAAAGGGGGAATCACCACCCTTGCCGACCGCCTGATTGATCATTTCTACCCGAAAGATCAACCACCTGTCCGTGCCGGCCAGCAACGCCAAGAACTAGCTCAGCCACCACGAACCCTTGCCGAAATCGGCCTCAGCCAAGAGACAATTGCAGCACTCCAGGAAGAGAACATCACTGAACCATCTCACCTGCCATTGCTGTTGTCGGAGGACATGGACACGATCGTTAAGAAGATTGGTGACCGCCGCCGCATTAAAGAGTTCCAAGCCTATGAGCCCCGCGTCGCTGCCCTAAAGGTCATCAGCGACATCAAGCACAAGCGCAACGTTATCGTGGATGGCGACGCCGGGAAACCATCAAAGGCCAAAAAGCAGCGCCGCTCTCGCTCTCCCTCACGCACTAGCAGCCGTTCCAGCTCCACGTCGTCCTCCCGTAGCTCATCCCGCTCATCCAGCAGCAGCTCTTCCAGTTCGGCCAGTGGTAAGTCCCATAACCAGGCATCCTGGTCTGATCTGAGCACGGAAGCCCGCACGTTGCGCCGCCCACATAAGTTTGTGTTCGCCCAAGCCAGCCTGGGTGCCAACGGAAAGGTCAAGAGCAAGCTCAAATGGTCCGATTTAACGCTGGATGAATTCTGGGCGGGTAACATGGAAACGCTTAAGCGCCTTCTGCAATCGCCAAACCCAAAGCACCTAAAAACCGCCCAAGAATTCGCCGACTACCTGGACTACTTGGCTCAGAAGCGCAAGAATTATTACGCCCGCAGCATCCTTGCTTTCGACCAGGACTTCCGCTACCGCGCCAAGCATCAGCATTGGGCATTGGATGACGTGGCGAAGCGAGAGAATATCGCCGCAGCCCATTTCCACGCCGCCAGTTACTGCCGCCACTCTATTGCGGGAAGAAATGCACTGGTTCCTTCCACGTCGACGGCCAACGCCGCTATGCCGGCCAGTGGCCATGCACGCAACGGAAACTCGTCGGCGCCCGTGTGCGGGCGTTTCAACAAAGATGGCTGTCCTGGCTGCAACTATCGCCATGAGTGCTACAAGTGCAAACAACCAGGTCATGGCCGCCAAAATTGCCCGCAATTGCGCCGCACTGCCACCGGAACTAATTAGCCTGACTGCTTGTTTTTCTGGGCCACTGATTGTCTGTCGCGATGGAATCCGGGTTAAGGGCATTATACAGGTCAAATTCCTAATTTCTTGGCATGTCCTCTTTGTTTGAATATCGTGATAGTAATAATGACTGTCTGCTAACCTAATAATTACATCCTTGTGCGATTGTCTTAAGCCAGCCTAATGCATGCTACAGAACTGTCATATGAAATTTATTCGAATCGCTCTCCAGCGCATTGTAGATTTCTAATTGGAATGCTGTTTACACTAATTATCGAATTTGGTTATGGCACTTTATGAAATATGTTCCTTAACACGAAGAATAACTAACTGGGATAGCCTTTTGCGTGACGATTTCGATCGGGATTTTATTCTTAATGGGCTACAATGCGGTTTTAAAATTGTTGAAAATTTGGATGCTATAAGCCCAGCCGAATGTAAAAACTATGCCAGTGCTCTGTCCGAACAAGCGAAACCTTTCCTATATAAACTTTTCCTAAGCGAGCTCACCGCCGGTAAAATATCTCACCAGCAAATAAAGCCAATACGCGTGCATGCCATAGGCGCCATACAGAAAGCCAACTCAGACAACTTCCGCCCAATAACCGACTGCAGTCGACCTTTTAGCAATAGCCTAAATTCGCACATCTTCCCAGATAAGTTTTCTCTGCAATCGGTTGACGACGCACTGAAAAACAGCAGCTATGCTTACCATTACGCACTCGTCGACATAAAGTCCGCCTACCACCATGTCCCGGTGTACCCGCTTCACAGACAGTTACAAGGTTTTGCCCGGAGTTTTGATGATAAGCCCGAATCTTACTTTGTGGATAATTTCCTATGCTTTGGATTCTGCATAGCGCCTTTTATATTTTTCCGCCTGTCATCGGCCATTGCACGCATGGTGAGACGGAAAGGTCACACAATCATCTGCTACCTCGATGACTTTTTGCTCATTGGCGCCACTAGCCTAATCTGCCAGGCCGCTCTAGAATGCCTTATTGCCACGCTCACGGAGCTAGGGGTCGAAATTAACTGGGAAAAAGTTATTTCACCTACTACCCGCATACGCTTTTTGGGAATCATCCTGGACTCGGTCAAACTTACTGTAGAACTGCCGCAGGACAAGTTGTGCACACTGACCGCGCAAGTTGAAGAGATCATGCACAAGTCAAAAGTCACCAAAAGAGAACTGCAGCAGCTAGCCGGTCGACTCAATTTTGCCGCAAAAGCCATTTATGGTGCTCGTCCTTTCACTCGCCTCTTTATTGATGCCCTGAGGCCGCTAGCCCGCCCAAGTCACCGCACTAGGCTTACGGCAGCGTTGAAATTTGAACTACAATGGTGGTACGAGATTTCGAAAGCACTGAATGGCCTTTGCCCATCCTTGTTGTCGCCCCCACGCGAAACTGTCTTCATACGGACAGACGCGTGCCTTGCTGGATTCGGTGCCACGTTTGGAAGTCACCTACTCGCGGGTTCGTGGCAACCTTATAAGCCAGCCGCAAAACTGCAAAAGATTTGGGCCGCAACGCCGCTTGTTGAAGCTTCACTGCTAAACAACATAAATTTCCTAGAGCTGGTCGCCGCCTGCTTGCCGCTGCTTATTTGGGCTCCGCAACTATCGGGCTTCCGTGTTGTCATTGAATCTGACAACACACAAACTGTTGCTTATATTAACCGCGCATGTTCAAAAAAATCAATATGCGCTGTCTTGGCTTAAACTTGTCTTTTACGCCTCACTGGCGTACGATTTCCGGGTTGCTGCAGCGTACTTACCGGGCAAGGCTAATGTTGTGGCCGATGCCTTGAGTCGCCATACGCTCGACCCCGCGTTATTGCAATCGGCACTTCCACAGGGTATAGGGTTGGTGCGCCCCTTACCACCGGGCTTCCTTTTCAGGTATCCAAACGCGACGATTGGACAAACGGCTGGCGCAAATTGTGGAAAGCCTCACTCGCGCCCTCCTCATTGCGCACGAGAAAGTGCCAGTGGCAAGCCTACCGCCGGTTTTGCAAAAGCATTTCAACGCGGCCCTATCCGGCCACGATTAAAACGCTATGCCGCTATATTGCCCACCTCTCTCCGAGGATGCAGTTCACCTCCATAAACAACTATCTGGCCAGCGTGGTGTCGCTTCATCACCTGAAGGGGTTTGAAGCACCAGATCTCGGTCATTTCCGCATCCGACAGACACTCCGTGGTGTTCAACAAAAGAAAAGGCAGACGCCAAATGCTCGATTACCTATAACACCGGAGATCTTGTACGCCATTAAACGCCACCTCTCTGTACTGCCCAAGCAATGCCGGAAAGCCTTCTGGGCGGCCGCCTTGTTTGCTTTCTTTTCTCTCCTTCGCAAAAGTAATTTGCTGAAGTTTAGTGGAAACAGCAAATACTTGCGAGTCAGTGGGATTAAACGCACCGCCTCCGGCCTTGAGATCACTGTACCGCAGATTAAAACAACAGCACACGCCTCGATGATGATAACGCTGCCGTTGCCACGGGTGGCCAATTCCCCGCTTTGCCCGGTAACAGGCATTCTCCGCCATTGAGAAAAAGGTCATGAAGCACCCGCATGCGTCGCCGTTCTCTATCAAAACCGCAAACCGGAAACTAGATCCGCTGACCGCAAACAAGTTTCAGCGCTTTCTGAAAAACCTCCTCGAAACCGCCGGATATGATCCCCGCCGCTACTCGCTGCACAGTTTCCGTAGAGGTCGTGCCACCTTTGCGGCTGCCGCCGGTGTGTCACCGGATGAACTAAAAGCTCAGGGCACTTGGGCCAGTCAGTGCTTCGAACGTTATGCGGACCGCACTCGAGACCTTCGATCCCACTTCGCCGAAACGGTATCGACCAGTTTGGGGGATTTTGGGCGTCCTTAGGGCGCTTCGCACCGTGTTGTTGTTGGCACTTCGGTGCCCTTTCGTTCCCCCCATGTCTGTAGCGATTCTGTCATGTATTGTGTTAACGAAAATAAAGTGAGGTACCAGCGTTTATGGGGAAGATTTCTCTGATGGGAGAAATCTGTTGATAAACGCCCACCTGAACTTGCAGCCTCTCTCTGCCCTTTAACCGCTCGCCTACCTCCTACTACGCCGGATCCGGGTTACTTGCGCCGCTAAGCCTATAAAAGCCCCTGCACACCGGCTGCCGGCTTCATTATTGCAGCTAGTTACTTGCAAAAATTTTTTTTTCGCTCTCGGGCGTCCTTAGGGCGCTTCGCACCGTGTTGTTGTTGGCACTTCGGTGCCCTTTCGTTCCCCCCATGTCTGTAGCGATTCTGTAATGTATTGTGTTAACGAAAATAAAGTGAGGTACCAGCGTTTATCCGCAAAAAAACAGCAGCATTCAGTCTATACACGCAGACACACACAATCGGCACATCACGCGCTTTTATCGATGGCCAATAAGCGGGGTCCTCCCGTTACCGTTAGCGTTAGGTATACTACTGTAGGTAAAAGCAGCCATGTCAGTGTTTCGCAGTTCTAGTATTGCCAATCATACCACGGAGTTTGCTTCCAGGATTCTTGCAAACGGCAAAGTGAAGATCCCCGATTGCCATTTAATTTTGAAGAAACACGCGCAGACACTAATTAAATTTCAAAAGCAGTAAGGCGTCAAAGCCACAGAAGCAATTTTAATAGTAAGTACCAAAAATCGTTTACTTCGAAGCGCCATTTAAAAAAAAACTTTATAAAAATTACAATGGTTCCGTTTGCAAGCCGTGGCATTTCAGACAGAATTGTGGCAGAATTAGAAATAATAGCTTGCATCGGGTTCAGAGGTATATTCCGTTGAAACGGGCTGTCGGCACACGGGACAATTGCGCGAGTACATCGTCAGCCAGGTCGTCAAGCATGCCGAGTGGCCGACTGCAAAAAAAGGCAATAAAACATAATTCGCATTTTAACATAGCGAGTAATGACGTTGCTTATGACTGTTTCGGGTAGCAGTTGATGACGAAAGAGAGCGGTCGCGAAAGCGAAACACGGCTGTGCTTGTGCATTGTACGAGTATATACAAAAAGCTTACTATATTGTCCACCGGTTGAGACGAAAGGTCAACTTACCATGGGAGCAAGGTAGAACAATTTTCATTTCGTCCACCACAAACGTCTGCTGACAGGTGGGGCAGATGTCGTCGGATTCCTCGGTGACCTTTACTTGCGTCAGTTCCGTCAGCCGGTGCATTTCCGCGGTTGTCAACGGGATGCCGTTGGCTTGCACGTGCTCTTCCTCTCCGGCGGTCTGAGCGCGCTCTTTGAAGGCCTCGATAAAGCGTCGCACTTGCTCCTCTCGAAAAGCTTGCATGCGCGCCAGCTTCAACTCGGCTGCGGCCCGGGCGATCTATCAACACGTTGATTTATCACCTTAATTTAACTGACGCGCTGACGCAAAAGCCGGGCGAATCTGAGCTTTTACTGACAGTCTATCTTCCAAAACAGGAACTGTAGCAGAGCCAGCGCGTACATTATTTGTACGATTCACAACTACGAAGAACTTTACCGTGCGCACTACTACACTGTATGTCAAAACCGCCAACGATGACGTCTATCGAGGCATTACGAAAGCTACAGGCATAAAATCGACTGCGACGGTGTCAGGATAGTGGAGACGATGTACTGTGTCGCCCGTAGACTTACATTCAACTTTGAAATTCTAGAATTCCTTGTACCTTTGTTTATAAGTCTCCAGGAACACCTCAAAAGAAAGAGAATAATTTGTTGTTTCTTCTGATACTAAGTTAGCGCGGATCCGCTGCAAATTAGATGCGATATGAGTGTTTTTATTTAACATGGAAGTCTATGGAAGAAGCCTGCACATGTGGCTATGCTTGTGGTGCGGATTTACTGTGGACGGCTGCAGTCTTCCGACTAAGTTGCTGACTATCTGTCACTATCAGTATGTGAACACTATCTGAAATACGAGTCCAGAAATTTATGTTTTCACTTGACTTTGTTTCCTGGACTTTAATCATTAAGAAAACGGCCATGGTTGCAGCTTAACCACTCTTTGAAGACACACCAGTACCTTGGCTCTTGGATCCACCATGTGCGAGGCCAAACTGCTTTTAACTCAACTTTTACCGCTAGAATTTTCGGGGACAGTGACGAAACATCATGTTTTTCAGTTTTAAAAAAAAACCCATTTAGACGCAAGGAAATTTCGTTCTGCTGGAACGCAAAGAGCGCGCAAGCCTATGGAGTTCGCAAGATCGGTCTCCTCCACCGTGACGTCATCGTACAGGCTGCCAGTTCGATTGTATGCCTTAGAGCTTTCGTAATGCCTCGCGTCTATCTATAAAAATGCCTCTTTCAATGGATTTTGGCGTAGAGTTGTACGAGGTATAAGCAGCAGCGTTAAACAGTGTCTTCGAGCTTCGTGGTACGCAACGTACCCTTATCGCTTGGGCGGTTGCTTTGGCTGCTTGACGTTTGTAATATTTGTATCTGATTAGGCCTATGACGCTGATAACCGCGCACGGAATCAGTATGCCCATGAGTATTGAGCTGATGTCTGGCGACAATCCTGTGCTGCTGGAAGACGGGCTACTCCGTGACGGAGGTTCATATTGCGAAGGTTTGACATTTCTGCCACGAAAAAATCAAGATAGTTTGTTTATCCTGCAATGCACCAAGACTGTTTCTTGGAGATAAATTGAAGAAATAATACTCACATAAGAGCATACAGGAAAGCGTACAGGTCTGATTGATCGGCCTCCACCGGATTAATGTTCAGTTTGTACCTATGCAAAAGCCACCAGATGATGTTATACTGATATCAGAAATTTAAAACCGCTTCGAGCTTCGTTTCGAAGCAGAAAGTTTTGTCCGTGTCGTATCGTGGTAGATGAACTGAGCGCGTAGCGCGCCAGTCCAGTTCCGTAGTCGTATCCGACGAAATGCACCGCGATCTCGATCTGGTCGGTAATGTTGGCGGCAATCGGCATGGGAAATGGTGTCGTCCGCGCTGGAATACTGCTGAAATACTGAGGTTCTCCGTTAACTATCATCGGAGGTGTCTTCTCTTTGAAGAAGCTGGCGTACACGATGATGCCGCTGTAGCCTTTATCCTGAGCGTTGAAGATCTTAGCAACCACTCCACTACCATCACTGCCGATGGCATTCCGATAGCCTGGAAAAGAACGTTTTTGCGAAAGCTATGTTATAAAATATTCCTAAGAAATTTGGCGAAGTCATAAAGCTTCGCCAGAATATTTGTTAGATACTTGCAGCATCGATCAGATTATTAGAATCTGTGTAAGTCATAAAGCGGTTGTGGAAAATTTGGGAGAACATGATAATGAAAATTCTAGAGGATCTACAAGAAGAACTGAAGCAACAGTGGCCTGTTGCTTCAGTTGAGTTTGTTAACCGTGAAAAATTACCGGTTTGTGGAGCAAATGGTACATCGTTCGTCAGCAAAAAGACCGGAACCCATCGGTTATCTTCCGCCGCGAGAGGCGCCGGTTCCACATCTTCGCCGTTACAAGCGTCTTCCGGATCGGCAACGCGGAGATAACCCTACACAGTTCCCCTTGGTTGGTCCATGTTATTAAGACCAACAAACCGATTATACAGATTTATTAGTATTTTTATTATTATTTTCCTACAGTAGCCAACTTATTCAGCGTAAGCGGATGAAGATATCTGACCAAGTTAATGGAAAAATCTTTTTGGCACATTTTCACATTTTTTTTGGTTTATTGATTTTATGAGATAAAAGTTACCTAACCTGGGAATCGAACCCAGGACATACAATCTTAAAGCCAGACGTACTACCACCAGGCTATAGGCAAATTAACATAAATGGACAATACCCTGGTGAACGCGGGCATTAAAGTGCACATGTGCACTCAATAATTCAGAGTCATGAAAGTATGGGATTATATGGCCGGGCTCGGTTTTTCGCTGGTTATAACGCACTTACTAAACGAGCATGAGTGCCTACTGCCTAGAGAAACTAAAATGCAGAGAATTTAATCCTCTACATTTTAGTTCATAACGTGTCCAGTGAAACTCTATGAGAAAGTTTTAGAAAACGTTTGAACGAAATAGTCTTGTGATAAAGTAACTACTAAACTGCCAAACGAAGGTGGTCGCAATGTGGTCTTGACAGTGGGGATTTGGACTTTTCCTTTAAAACTCTTATCGAAATACTCAGATTGAACTTCCCGAGACATTTGAGCTGCCAAACTGTAGTGATCATCGAATACTTAATTTACTGCTACAGTAGACAAAGTTATTTATGGCCAACTAAAGTCTGTGGCTTTAAACTTGTATCGGCGTATAGCTACGGCTAGATCAACGAACCCACTATCTAAAGCAACAACAAAGTAGAGCAGCGCTTCGTATGAAACAGCGGTTATTGATAATTTGATATTAATTTTATTAATGGTTGTTTTGCGTAGCCGCTATACGCAGACAGATCAGGCACAAAAGGGCACCGGCATAAAAAGCTCACGCCTTTATAGTATGTAAACGAGGTTTTTTTGTTTCGCAGATGGAGTTGCACCGATCTGATTACAAAATCACCGAAGCCGAACACGGAATCTCAGCTTATCGTTAAACTTGGGCGTTGAGGAGCAGATGCAGTGTCCGCTTGAGTCGTGACGCCTTTAGCGATCTGTACGGGTTGTCTGCAAACGGGACACTGGCGCGAATAGCTCGTCAGCCAGGTGGTCAGGCAAGTCGCATGACCCACTGCAAAACAGATTCGATAAAACACTACAGTTGGTGCAGCGCAGTTGTTGTTCCTTTAAGCTGCGTAGTGGCGGAAGCTCATCTGGTGTGAAGATTTCATGGAGATCTTTATAAGCCGTGCTACAGAATCTATACCGTGCTCGCAGGTGCAGAAGCATCTTCATTTCGCCGACGGCGAAGGTCTGTCGACAGGTTGGACATATGTCGTCGGACTCGTCGGTGACCTCGATTTGCTGCAGCGTCTCGATGTCTAACGGTGGCAACGGTAAGCCATTGGCTTGCCTGTGCTCTTCCTCTTCGGCTTCGTCGGCCAGGAATTGATCAACCTGCAGCCAGAACACCGTGGCTGGTCGCACAAAAGCACAACGAACTTTATTTACGGTGCGGCGAGCTACTCCAGCGATAAGTATCCTGACTCAGCTTACCATAGCGCGAAAGGCATCTTCGTCCGCACTCCGACGAATTCGATGTTGCCGACACCGGTATATGGCAAACCATATGAGCATGGCGAGAATGACGGCGGGAACGGCCACAGCCATAATCACTTTGGTGCGGTACGCTGCCCATTCCTGTGGGTCGACGGGAGATGGGCGTCACGCGAACGTGACATTATCTCGCTGACATTCCACTGCGGAGGACTGGTTCATTAGGTCACTGGAAAAGCAGATCAATATGAAATTATTATGGTGTAATCAGCCCCAAGTAAAGTGTGGCAAAATGCAGTAAATGCTATTATGCATATGTTACACTCGGAGTATAACATATCCGTACACTGCTACTGGTGTTTCGTATCCGTATCGGACAAAATGTGTCCCGATCTTGGCTTGGCTGGTAATATTCAAGGAAATCGCCATCGCTAAAGGGTAACCGATTACAATCAGAGAGAAGATGAAAATAATTATTTGTAAACAAAACCGTTGTGCGCTGTGGGATATCCGGTCGAGTACCGCACACAGCAGCAAACTACTGTACGAATACTGTTTATTGCATGTAAGCGGTTATTCGTCTGTGGCGTGTCACTTTCCTGAACAGACCACAGTGAAACAAACTACAATTCCGGCGTCATCGTCTCGCGAGGAAAATGCACTAGTAAGCAGCTAATTACAACATACAGAAAAAATGAAAAATGCATGATGGCCGAAGGTGTTTGTTCGTCATCGGCAAGACGGCTCATTTATGACCGAACCTGACTGCTTCAAACAGTACGTACAACTGCGGTTTATTAGGCACTATTGCTCCGGTGTGGCCATTGTACACAGTACTAAAGGAAAAAAATCTTTTGATGCAATACGCACTGTGTTTTGCATCAGAAAGCGAGTTTTTACTGTACTGTGACGGTCATCTGCTTGCCAGTTCCGCAACGTTCAAACGATTTCTGTATAAGCTGAGTGAAGCAGTTCTGTCTTCGAGTGCAATACACAAGACTCTATCTGGATCTGGAGTAGGTTATTTTCAAGACTCTTATTTATATGTTGTATCGAGGCATTACGAAAGCTCTAAGGCATAAAATCGAACTGGCAGCCTGTACGATGACGTCACGGTGGAGGAGACCAATCTTGCGAACTCCATAGGCTTGCGCGCTTTTTGCGTTCCAGCAGAACGAAATTTCCTTGCGTCTAAATGGGTTTTTTTTGTTTAAAACTGAAAAACATGATGTTTCGTCACTGTGTCCGAAAATTCTAGAGGTAAAAGTTGAGTTAAAAGCAGTTTGGCCTCGCACATGGTAGATCCAAGAGCCAAGGTACTGGTGTGTCTTCAAAGAGTGGTTAAGCTGCAACCATGGCCGTTTTCTTAATGATTAAAGTCCAGGAAACAAAGTCAAGTGAAAACATAAATTTCTGGACTCGTATTTCAGATAGTGTTCACATACTGATAGTGACAGATAGTCAGCAACTTAGTCGGAAGACTGCAGCCGTCCACAGTAAATCCGCACCACAAGCATAGCCACAAGTGCAGGCTTCTTCCATAGACTTCCATGTTAAATGAAAACACTCATATCGCATCTAATTTGCAGCGGATCCGCGCTAACTTAGTATCAGAAGAAACAACAAATTATTCTCTTTCTTTTGAGGTGTTCCTGGAGACTTATAAACAAAGGTACAAGGAATTCTAGAATTTCAAAGTTGAATGTAAGTCTACGGGCGACACAGTACATCGTCTCCACTATCCTGACACCGTCGCAGTCGATTTTATGCCTGTAGCTTTCGTAATGCCTCGGTTGTATGGAAATCAAGAGTTTCGCCATCAGAAAGTGTTGACGAGTGCGCCTCTAAAGCGGTCAACACGGAAACGAGAGATGCGCAAGAATCTGGAAAAGTCGACAGTTCACCGGGGAAGTTGGCGGCACTACAGCCTTGCCCGGGTGCATCCAGAAATATATACACCCGAGCGGGAGATCAAATCAACCTGGAACGACACTCGGTTGGAGCCTTCGTGTAGTGCAAGGTCACTGTCTGGAGTAGCCGACAGCTCGATTTCCAGCAAAGATCTTACATCTGAAGGATGTGAGTGCGCTGTAGCGCTGATAATCTCTGTATTACTATTAATTTTACTAAGCTTACATAAGTCGTACTTAAGGGAAGTGGCCCGGTACATGGTATTTGGGTCCTATACATGCCGAAATCTTTCACGTTCACGCACTCTCAAACGCTTTTTTACTTTGTTTAATGGCAATATTTTGTAAGAATCTGATGATTGGCATACAAAGTAGGGAAAACCGTTTAAGCGCACAACATCTGGTTCGAGAGTTACGGCTAAAAGAAAATTAAATTAAATAAATTAATTTCAAAAGCATCCATGTGTATTAAAACTCATTATAAACAAAGTAAAGCTCGGTTTTTTTCAAATTTTAAAATTAATATTAAATTTTTATACTACAGTAATTAATATACATTCTAGAATTTAAAAAAATGGAAACTCTGGCTCGGTATAAGAACGATCTTTATGATTATGTGGGTTTACATGCAGAATTTTAATGAGATCAGTCCGTAATGAGATATTAGGTACTTAAATGCATTTAAACTTTCTGGAATTTTCTACATCCATAACACCTGAGCCGGATGTTGCGCGCACAAACTGCTAGGGCACTAGCATGCTGTATTAAAATACAGTACTACGTATTCTGAATGCGTGACACGTGTTATTTGTTTCCACAGTTAATTCAGCGTAAGCAATTCTCATCTTTCTGCATTTTATTCGTTTCAGTACACGCTCAAAAGCGCAGGAGAAGCACTAGAGCAGTTCAAAAATATCGTGAGCTAAAGCGCCTCCAGAAGCAGCGTCTCCACGAAGACCACGAAAAGCTGAAGAAGGATTTCGAAATGATAAAGAGCCAAAATGATCAGCTGCAAGCAGTCCTCGTGGATATAGAAGAGGGTCTGCTGGATGAAAAAACGTCGAAGCAAGAATTACTGGCATTGGTTAACAGCGCTAAACACCGGCCACTGCCGTAAAAGCCGTTAATTATAATTATGTTATGTATTCATTTTCTTTAGAAAACGCTAGAAAACGGGGCTTATTAGCGCGGTACATGTGAAAGTGCGTGGCAAGGGCGGACAGGACATGAGTTCGTTTAAATAAAATAAGGAAGAATGTGACTTCCGGTGTCGCAAGATTGTTTTTTTCTGGATAGAATGACTTTTGCCCCAGAAATGCTCCACAGAGCTTTAATCACTCAAACTATACACGGCATCGTGCTTGAATAAAAATTTTCAAAAATCTGCTTCAGTTGTTATTACTTCCGCAAAATAATGTCATGCAGGCACAAAAATGCCATTACTTGAAAAATAAATAGCGCAAGTTTTGTCGACTGCGACTCAGCCCGCTCAAATTCTATTCTACTGGTTTATGCTCCAGTTTACAATTTGTAGGGACCTTTTGCGCTTTATTAGATGTTGGTTTGCTTAAACTGTAATGCACGTTGACCAGACAGATGTATGAGCGCCTCAGCGTTTGGCTGCTCAAAATAAACGAAACCGCACGATTATAGTGCGATGCTCTTTTTTATATACCTGAAGTAGGCCTTCTGCCAGCATCATCAGACAACCAAAGCTGAGAATTCTCAGGAAGAACCGCGTAGCGAAAGACCGCACACTTTCACATTTCATTACTATTAACAACATCTCACATTAAGCCACCTTACTTTAGTACTGCCAAGCAGTACTACGTATGTACGAGGCGTGTGTCCCTTGCTTAGATAGAGCACATTTACCTACATGAAGAATTTATTGGTTTGCTTATCGTTCAGACGTTTGAACATCAACATTATAAAACAAAGTAAACAGCGTTAAAACCATCAGAACGCGGTACGGTTGAAGTCACAGACAGCGCATTCCACCGCTGTATTTCAATGCTAATACGCTGTAGCAGAAACTCGTAAGAGCGTCGTTCTCCGTAGCATCCTTTAACCGCCTGCCCAATTCTCGCAAAAACTTAATACAGGAAGGGCTAGCGACGCCAAAAGTTTCAAAAGCCAATGCAACAAAATAGTACTCAGGTGCTAAATATTCATATTTCCGCCGCTTTTCGTCTTCTGCTTTTCGGGCCGCTTCTCCAGCCTTAACGCTGCTGCTAATGACGTTTGAAAATGCGACGGTATCCACACGTCACGTCCCAGGCTAGCCGTAAACCGTTCTTCCAAGGCATTTGCGACACACCGTCCGGACGGCGATCGTCTTCGTCACTTGTTCCAAGCGGCTCTAGTACAGCCGGCGTTTTAGCGGTGACCAAACTTCTCCGAATCAGTTCGTTCAGTGCGGTGTGGCGAAGAAAACGCCCAGCGCTCTTTTTGCAGGATAAGCCGTGGTGACCGTATTCGTCCACAGGGAGACGGCAGTCCGTGCAAAGGTGCGGACGGCAGATAGCTGCGCCGATTCGAAGGCCGACTGCTACGCGAAAGCACTCGTCCGACATCAGGGTTCCAAGTGAAGAAACAGGCAGAGCGTTCAGCCATTTGCCAGATTCCGGCTCTGCAACAGCAAGCAAACGCGCACAGTGGGTGACATCACTAGACAACTCTTCCTTAATAATTTGACAAGTTTTTGTACCAGAGCTACATCCCACACTTTTTGTACACGCCGAAGATTTTCTGGTGGTAGTTCGGTGCCCGTAGCTGTTTGCCACAACTGATGCACCAAGTCAAGGCTCTCCGTACCAGAGGCAATGGTCGAGACAAGAGGCGCTGTGGCATAAACCGAAGCCAAATAGGCTGGAATAGCTAGTTCTGCCACACGTCTGATCCCCAACCCACCACTGGACACAGGGAGCGATGCTTGAGCCCAGGTGACACCGTCGATCTTATTATTCGTTACTGCTTCTAATGCCGATTTGGTAATGTTATCGAATTTATCAAGTTCGTCTCCGCACAACCAAGTTGGACTTGCTCGTAGTAAATAGTTCATTTTAGGAACGCCAATGCAAGTGCGCAGCAGAAAATAAGCCTGATGAGCAGGCAGTATACTTAGCTTGGAAGCTAGTCTTTGCAGATCCAGGGACTTCTGAAGAATGGCATTGGGAATGGCAGCCTGCAAAGAGGAGCACCGAGCAGTATCAATTCGCTTTCAGTGGGATGTAAAATTCTGGGTAACGGTTAATCAAAATTTTCTTTGTGGTTTCGCGATCTTCCAGTGTACCACCGAAAATAAAAACTCGCATTTAGAGATTCAGCTCGAGACCGAGATCACTGGCGGTAGCAATGACAGTATCTATGTCGCTTAATACTTCGCTTAATTTACCACCTATCACACCATCGTCTAAATACCATGCGTTCAGAGGTGACACCAGCGACAGTATTAGTATCAATATAAGAAGTGAAAACAGTAATGGGCCCAACGGATCACCCTGCTGCACCCCGCTTGGGACAACATGTCCCATTGGTCAAAAGTAGACTGCTGGGATTTCGGTAACATTGGCTGATAAATTGTGCGTATTCTGGTAGCTCTGACTGTACACAATGCAACATTTTATCGCGATGGACAGTGTTGAACGCGTTTCGAAAATCAAATTTAACGACCACTTGCACTTCGTCTGAAACCGTATTGAGAAACCGCCTGGCTGCATGTACAACTGCCTCACAACCGCCGGGAGTACCGAAACCCAATTGCTTTGGCCTAAGCTTTCTCCCATCGGTTGCTGTACTCGCTTAACCACAATTTTCGCCACGATACGACGTAACGTGCTACCAACTGCTATTGGTCTTATACCACCCCCTTTCTTATTTAATGCAGTTAAGTTTGCCCCGTAAAGTATCGGCAAAATATCATTAGGCACCCGGCCGGAAAGCATAATGTCTGCTAACAATGCTAGCTGTTCACACAATAGCGAAGAACTGTCATTGGTAGTATCGCTAATCATGTCCTTCAAATGCTGAGGCCGAAGCCCGTCAAGCCCCCCGGCAGAATCGTTTGGGAAACTAGTGACTGTATCGAAAATTTCTTTTTGTGTAACACGGCTAATGGCGTCGCCTTTAGCTGATGACGATGCAGGGTAACGAGCATCCGGGTTAACACCCGGATGTTTTTTCTGTAGTTCTGCGAAAGTGGCCGCGGTGCGCGGTGCCAAGGCGTCTTCGGAACAAAGGACGCGCACCGCACCAGAAACGTCGCCATTTTGAATTTTACCCTGGACAAATTTCTGTAGATCAAAAGGCCGTAATGATTTCAGAGGCGCAACGGGAATTTCTCTTGCACCAGACTCAAAATTAACAACGTTAGACTTAATCACTGACGCTAAAGAATGAGTGCGATCGTTCTTAGCTTTACCTGGTAAACGAAAAACAAAATATGCAAAATCAAAAGATCTTCCCAGGACTTTACCGAGTTCTCTGTAACACATCGAGAAACTACGCGTGTAAAAGCTGTAGTAACCGCTCTACGTGCCCCTTTGGGTATTCGCTTCACAAGCCTCGTGTTGGTTTTCAGAAACTTCACCTGGTTCAGAAGGCTGCAGCTAGGTTCCGTCGCAGGAGCTTTGTTGGGAACACAATGGTCCAGTCCGCGTTGACGTCGTAGCACATTCTCCCCGCACTTGTTGCTCCCGCTGTGATTGGTGAAAGCGCTCTTGGTCGAGCAGACAAATCCACAGATCAAGCAAGGGAAAGAAGGCTTTGAAGACTGCGCAGCTCCATCAGAAGATAAATCCATGATAAAAAATCAGCCATCAAGAAATTTCAGCAATTAGATTTACAGCTCAAGATTGTGTCGACACTGTATATGCGCAGGCACTGCTCTGGCATACAAAAACCTTTAGCTCCAGGAAACTGCTTTCGAAACCCTGTCTACTTACAGTCGGTTACGTAACCGCTACGCTTCAGATTTCAAGGAAACTCGTGCCCTGCAGAAGCTACGAGTACCTGCTTCAGTTTCAATTTCTCAATTCACATTTCGTCATTTTCAATTCATATTCATTTCATTTCACTTCGTTTACATTTACCTTACCCTTACCATACTAAGATAACTGTGCCCGTGTTGTGCAGCGCTGTCAACCACCCAAAGATGGCAACGTCAGGGAGAATTTGAAAAATCTGTTGAATCAGCCGTTGATAACTTCAATTGCTCACATCTCGTGAATGTGGGAACAAAACTGTTCAAGCAATATCTCAAAAGATGTGGAAAAAATTCACAAATTTTTTGATACCAAGTAAGTCAGGATTTAGAGCGACTGAAATAAATCAGAGGCATTTCTGTTCCCCATAGACTAAGCATAGTAAGTATTACGTTGAAGGGGTCCACGAAGAGATCCTATAGTGTGTCTACGAGAAACTCAAAAAGGCTACAACTTGTTTCAGTTGCTCTAGATCCTATATTACTTGGTATCAAAAATCTTGTTAATTTTTTCTGCATCTTTTGAGATATTGCTTGAACAGTTTTGTTCCCACATTCACGAGATGTGAGCACCTGAAGTTATCAACGTCTGAATCAACACATTTTTGAAATTCGCCCTAGCGTTGCCATCTCTGGGTGGTTGACAGCGCTGCAAATTGAGTGCACAACACGGGCACAGTTATCTAAGTATGGTAAGGTAAATGTGCTCTATCTAAGTAAGGGACACACGCCTCGTACCCGCGGAGCGTAACTGATTTCTCATATATAAACGCGTTTTTTCAAAGGTCATTTACAGGGGCTAATGCCGTCCCAGTGGTGGTCGTCCTGTAAAAGAAACCTGACGCTGGTGAAGCTTTGAGTTTAAGATCATTCACAGGTCATTGTTGTAGGCTGGAAGCCGTGCGAGTGTATATAACTGGCAACTGGCAAATGCTAGTTTATACTATTACGGCACGTGCGCCCAGATTTCTTTCAACGGCTTCAGCTCGAGATACATACTTAGCATGGAGCAGCGATCAACAACCATGGCGATCTTAAATTTGAAGGGGGACAGCCAAGAATTTTTCATAGCGATAATGTTTCTAAGGGCATGTTTTATTTTGTTTTTTTTCGCTCGGGGCGGAAGGCACAGCGCGAGATCATATGCCGCTTTCTGCGAAAAAAAGTGGAGTCGGTTAAACATCAAACAAAGGCGTATACTTCAGCGATGGAATTATTGACACTGTGGCGTACCCTGTTTGCATGCACTTACTACATGCAGACACAAGACACATTAGGCACGAACACATCGTAGCACCAATAAAAAAGGTATAAAACATATCAAATTATTCCGTCGTCGAATGTGGCGGAAGCGCGATAGAATTAAAAATAGTAGTCAGAATTGGGTTCAGCGGTATATTCCGTTGAGACGGGTTGTCTGCACACCGGACAGTTGCGCGAATAGGTCGTCAGCCAGGTCGTCAGGCACGCCGAATGGCCAACTGCAAGAGAAGGTAAGAACTATGACAACAAAAATTCCACTAGTACGGAATGCATCGTTGTAACTATCAGTAGCTGAGTAACGTCACTTGTCATAACTTCAGGTTGCAGATGACACTGTAACGCCATCTGGCGAAATCAGATTATTGTAAAACAAAAAAAAAACCTTTGTGCAAATAAGTGCCTCAGTACGAATGAGACGTTTGGTAGAGTAAGCCTACGAGTCTACCGTGAGAGCAGGGCAGAACGATTTTCATTTCGTCGACCACAAACGTTTGCTGACAGGTGGGACAGATGTCGTCCGATTCCTCGGTGACCTTTACTTGCGTGAGTTCGGTTAGCCGGCGCATTTCCGGTTTTGTTAACGGGACACCGTTGGCTTGCATATGCTCGTTTTCGGCGGCCTGGACGCGTTCTATGAAGGACTCAATAAAGCGTCGCACTTGCTGCTCCCGGGAAACTTGAATACGCGCCAGCTCCACCTCGGCTGCGGCCTGGGCAACCTGCAATCACGACCGTCACCACACTGATTTTACTAGAGAACGCGGACACATTTCGGCGAACTGCTTTGAATGCACATTTTTTTCTGGAGGAAAAATTTATAGCAGCGCACACAGTCACTGTTTTCAATACTTTTTATGCCAACAGTAAAGAGTTCCTTCGAGTTTTGTGATACACAACTTACCCTCATTTGTTCGGTGGCTGCTTTGGCTGCTTGACGCTGCCGGTGTTTGTATCTGATCACACGCAAAGTCAGGAAGAAGAGACAAACGCAGGGAATGAGCGTTCCCATGAGTATTGTTCTGTTGCCGGATGATGACGATCCTGAACTGCTGTACGACGGGCTCCACCATGTCGGCGTCTCAAATTGCGGAGCTTTGTAATTCCTGTCACCGTGACATGAGCACAGGTTACACAGAGTTTTATTTTGCATCGCTCCGAGAATATTTTTGGATGAGTTACTCACAGAAGGGCCGACAGGAAAGCGTAAATGTCCGACCGATCGACCGCCACAGAACTGACGTTCAGCTGGTACCTACGCAAAAGCCGCACCATGTTGCTAAAGCACTAATGTGAAGCAGAGTGTGTACCGTGTCGTCGAGGATGCATTGTACGCGTACTGCGCCAACTTAGGTCCATAATCGTATCCGACGAAATGCACATCGATCATGATCCGATCGGTAATGTTGGCGGGAATCGGCATGGGAAAAGGCGTCGTCCGCGGTGGCTCGCCAAAGTACTGCCTTTCTCCGTTAACGATCCTCGGAGGTACCTTCTCTTTGAAGAAATTAGCGTACACGATGACGCCGCTGTAGCCTTTCATTTGGGCGTTGAAAACCTTCGCAACGACTCCGCTGCCGTCACTGCCGGTGGCGTTCTGATAGTCTTGAAATATAAATTAGCCGATCCATGAAAATATGTGAATAGTAATAAATACTGATATCGGTACATTCAAATTATCCAGTCGCGCTGACTTTCACGGGCTTCTAAGATTTGTTTTTATCAACTTAACGTCTTTACGGTAAAATTAGGGTTAAACCGTCCAGCTTGTCCAGTGCAGCTCATGTCGCGTAATAAAAAAAATTCATATCATCTTCTTGGATTTATTATTTATGGACGCTGGAAGTTCTTTCTAAAGTATCTGTTATTTGAAATCAACTTTGTCTCTTTTTAAATTCATCCTTGGTCTCATTCTCAACGGGGAAAAAAGATACACGAAGCAAAAAAATGCCAGGAAAAACACACGGAGGGTGCAGAAGCAAACGTTTCAGTGGATAAACACGAATGTTGTCCAGGGCTACAGGTACCGATTTGTGACCATTACATTACCGATTTGTGGCGCACATGGTGCGTCGTTGGTAAGCAAGAAGAACGGAACCCATCTATCGTCCTCCAATAAGCGCGGTGCTGGATCCATATCATAGGCGCTGCAGGCATCTTCCGGGTCGGCAATTTGCAGATATACCTAAACAGCTCTCCACGATTACTCACAGCAAACCAATCCCACAAGTCCTTTCATAAGTAACTTAGCTTTAATATCGCGAGCACAACGCGGCAACCCGAAAAGGTTTCGAACAAAATTGTTCGTCATTGTCACTTCCACTGAATTGCTGATGTACGCGAATAGTCTCTTGAGCGTCGCAGCACGCAACGCTGACGAGACTATTCGCGTAGATTGCCCGCCGCGAATCTGTTTTCTGCTAGAAAAGCTATGTACAGCAACTTACCGGCCCATCGCTGTTGCCTTGACCAGCCGCGGACTGATAATTATTGGGAACCTGATACACGAAATCCCTGGAATCGGTGTACCCAGAACGCCGATACACTTGAATCAGGCCACTGCGCGGCTGCAGCAGCGCCGCCCATTGACACAGTCCCAGAAGAAAGCCTGTGGCGAATGGTCGCATCTCCCTCTTCCGTCTGCGACCACTCAGTTATTACGGCAGCAGGTAGTAATTATCGTAAGCCGATAGTTTGTGAAATGACGGCTTCGCGCTAGTCACTGCACAGAATAATAAATTAAAATAACAGTGTTTGCCTCGCTACAATTACACCACTAACTCAAACAAAAAACAAAAAATAACAAAACACAAAATTACAAAAATTCCAAAATTAAACGGCTGTTATGAATTAATAACGACAACTGTTGACTACTAAAAAACACACAATTCTTCGAGTGTGCAAGTATCGATTTATCCACACATCTACCACAGTTACAGTAATACCAGAGATTCACAGTTAACTAGCAAAGAATTTAGGAAAGACTTTGAGCGCCGACCAAACTGCAGCTAAATCATGCGGGTGCCTGTACCGTGGCAATAAAAAAATTTAGCGCAGTGCATACAATTATTGCGGAAGTGTGCATGCACCATGCATGATACGTGCGACATGGTTGTGGTTTCTTTAAAGCAAGTACAGTATATTACTGATTCAACAGCTGCAATAAACCCTGCTGCGACTGCCAATCGGATTCGTACACTAGAACCTTGGTTGGTGCACGGATAAAACATCGCGAACCATAAATCCCCTGCGGCGAATCCTTCTCCGACTGTTGATCAATTGCTCATACGTTACCTGGCACGGAGTATATGACATCACTTCTAATTATTAATATTATTATTATTATTGCATCAAGAGAAGACAACCCGATTAATGGGACTTCAATGTCTGGTCGGTACAAAAGTAAACAATATCAGCATATTACGACAGATCAACCATTCGGAGAGCAAACTTGAAAAAACCCACGCCATCAACACTGAGTATCTGCATAATATTATTAACTGTGAGCGCTCAAAAATGTATGCGCTCAAAAATGTCCTATAAACGCATAGCCAAACTTGTGACGAACATGAAAGAATTTTACTGCCAGACGGAGCTATTAATGACAAACTGACCTTTGGGCCTTTGTACTGATGCCACACTTTCTAAACCAACGAAAACACTATTACAGCAGAAGGAAAATATTGCATCGTATAAAGCAACGGTTAATAATTTCTTTCAAGTTTTCTTATGCGTATTCACGGACGAATCAAGCACAACCGGCAAAAGACCACAAGCATGTAAACCATGCCTTATTGTGTTACAGATGCATTTGCACTGAATTGATTGACTTTTAAAAAAGAACATTAAAGCAGAACATGGAAATTCGGTTAGCCGTTAAGCTTAGTCATCCAGGAGCAGATACAGTGTCAGCTTTGACCGGAGACGAAAGACTCGCGGCAAGTTCAACAATCTGTACAGGTTGCCTGCAAACGGGACATTGGCGCGAGTAGATCGTCAGCCAGGTGGTCAAGCAAGTCGCATGGCAACTGCAAAGGAAAACCGATTGCAAAGAAAAGGGCACTCGCTGACACCACCAGCTTCTCTTTTCTACGCTTCGTAGCGGCAGGACCCGTATTAAATATGACGATTGCATTGAAGTCTTTATTGCATGGAGATCTAAGATTGCATGGAGATCTTTACAAGCCACCGTGCTACAGAATATTTACCGTGATCGCAGGGCAGAAGCATCTTCATTTCGCCGACGGCGAAGGTCTGTCGACAGGTTGGACATATGTCGTCGGACTCGTTGGTGACCTCGATTTGCTGCAACGTCTCGATGTCTAACGGTGGCAACGGTAAGCCATTGGCTTGCCTATGCTCTTCCTCTTCGGCTTCGTCGGCCAGGAACTGATCAACCTGCAGCCAGAACACCATGGCTGGTCGCACAAAAGCACAACGAACTTTATTTACGGTGCGGCGAGCTACTCCAGCGATAAGTATCCTGACTCAGCTTACCATAGCGCGAAAGGCATCTTCGTCCGCACTCCGACGAATTCGATGTTGCCGACACCGGTATATGACAAACCATATGAGCATGGCGAGAATGACGGCGGGAACGGCCACGGCCACAATTACTTTGGTGCGGTACGCTGCCCATTCCTGTGGGTTGACGGGAGATGGGCGTGGCGGGAACGTGGTAGTCTCCTGCTGATAGTCCACTGCTGTTGTTCGATTCCTTACGTCACTAGACAAGCAGAATGATTACGAATTTACAGTGTAATGCGCTTCAAGTAAAGTGTGGCAAAATAAATGCTGTTATGCATAATTGTGTTTTGATATTAAGCCGTGATTGTACCGGGTTGTCGACGATGCATTATATCCGTACACACTCATTGGTGTTTCGAATCGGTATCGCCAAAAATGAACGATCTTCGCTTGGTTGGTAATGTTTGACGGAATGGCCATCGCTTAAGTAACCAATCAAAATCAGGGAAAATAAAATAAATTTATTTGTAAACAAATTATGGTGCACTGTGAACTTCGCGGTCGAGTACCGCGCACTGCGACTACGAGTACAGTTTACTGCATATAACCGGTTATTCTTCTGTGGCATATCAGTTTCTTGGGCAGATCTCAGTGAAACAAGCCACAATTTCGGTGTGATCGTCTGGCGAGTAACATGTGCCAGTGAATATTAAATTGCAGCAACGCAAAAAATGAGAGTTTCATGATGGCCGAAGGCATTTATTCGTCACCGGCAAGACGGCCCAGCTATGATTACACGGTTTGCACGCAACTGCTTTAAACAGTACGTACAAATACAGTTACTGCTTAATAGGCTCTTGTGTGCACACACACAGTACGAAGTACGAAAAGAAAAAAAAACACTTCCTGATGCAATTGGCACTGTGTGTTGCATCAGAAAGTGTTTTTTTACTGCACTGCAAATTGCAACGGTCAGCTGCTTACAAATCCCCGACCTTTTCAAACGTTTTATGTATAACCAGAGAGAAGCAGTTCATCCTCCGATTACGATAGGTAAGAACGCTTTCTGGGTTTTACGGAGGTTCTATTCGAGACAAATAGTTTTTGTTGTATAGAAACTGATAGTTCCGCCATATGAGAGTATTGACGAATGCGCCTCTAGTGCGGCCACTATGAAAACGAGAAATTCGCAAACATTAGGGAAATCCGGCAGTTCACAGGGGAAATTGCCAGGACAACAGCCTTCTCCGAGTACATCCAGAAAAACGCCTCAGCGAAAGGGGAAATCAACCTGGGATAACCCTCTACCTGAGCCTTCGTGCAGTGCGAGTTCGCTAACACGGGAAGCCGACAATTCGGTTGCGAGCGGCAAAGGTCTTTCATCAGACGAATGTAAGTACGCAGATAATTTTTGTACTAATATCTAATAACTTTTCATATTGGTGCAAACTTCCCTTTTATTAAAACATTGCATCTAGTAGTGAGTTTAGCTAAGAAGAAAATTCTTACAAAAATTGTGCTTCACCGCAATCTTTACCATTTTATTCCTTGCAGCGTATTCTCAAAGGCGCAAGAAAAACAATGAAGCTGTGCGAAAAAGTCGCGAGAGTAAGCGTCAGAAAGAACTGCGTTTCCGCGAAGACCATGACAAGCTGAAGAAAGAAATCGAAGCGATAAAGAGTCGAAATGATCAGCTGCAGACAATCCTAGCGGAAATAGAAGATGGCGTACTGGATGCAGGAAAGTCCAAGCAGGAATTATCGGCATTGGTTCAGAATGCTAGACAGCGGCTGTTGCAGTAGTAGCCGTTGACAACAATTTTGTCTTGCATTTATTTCCTTCAGACAACGATGTGCACAGAAAGCTGGGCTTACTAACGGTACCATTTGAAATATGTGGAAAAGCGGACACACCGGACAGTAAATTTTAATTCCAGATAAAATAAAGATATAAGGAGATTTATTGTGTCTCATTGGCTGAAACAATGAAATCATCAAAATCCAAAGTTCCTCGACAAGTATTGCACTTATCAGGAAAACCTATGAATTAACCTAACCAAAAGAAAAGGCTATAAAATGAACCAGATGTTTCCGCTACATAATTCAAGTAAAACTTGCGAAGTAAAAATATGGTTAACCAATAAAATGACAATTTGATACAGGTACTTTCTTTCGGGTTATTATTCTAGCGCCTCGGTAATACTTTACAGTTATTTACTTTACTTTTGCAGTGGATATAGCAACTTACGAGTGTTGTTTCAGATGTTGCAGACGTTTGCTGTTTTTGTTTTTTATTGTAGCCTTATTTTAACAGTTTCACGTTTACTGCCGGGATGATAAAAAGAGGCATAAGGAATCGCGCATAAGGAATCGTGAAAAGCACAAAATTCGTGTTTTTAGATATATGAACGATAATTATATTTACAATAAAAAAGTTACGCAATCTGCAACTAATAAACACGGCAAAAAGGCCTTAACGAGATTTCGCAAGATCAACAACGTCAACTGTTTATTACCAGCAAAAAAAAACTATTTGAACGGACAACAGCTCGTTCTACCAAAATATCCCAGACCAGTTAGTGCGAATCTTGTAGGTTAAGAATGGAAAGCTCGACCGGAGTATGATGCTGTACAACGAACTCGGGTGGTTGGCACACAGGTTGCCGGCACACTGGACAGTTGCGCGAATACGTCGTCAGCCAGGTCGTCAAGCACGCTTTGTGGCCCACTGCAAAAAAAATGATTTTTAAACCAATTTTTCTTAATTGAACTCAGAACCATCCTACCGTGATTGCAGGGCAGAACGGTCTTTATCTCGCCGATGGTGAAATTCTGTTGGCACGTTGTGCATAGGTCCTCCGTCGGCTGCGTGATCTCCACACGCACGAGCTGCTCCATTTCTCGCGCGGTCAACGGTACGCCGTTAGCGCGCCGGTGCTCTTCTTGCTCGTTTGCTTGGCTCTGGGCAATGAGCGACTCGATTAAGCGCAGCACCACCATTGCCCGTATCGCATAGATTTCCGCGATTTCCGCTTCCATCAAGTTCTTAATACTCTGAAAACGATTTACGGTGATGCTGTTCGTAAAACCTGGAACTGTGGGTTCCTAATTACCATCGGGGGTGCTGTTCCAAGAGCGATAGCGCGAATCTTGCGTCTGCGCCAGCAATACGCGAGACTGGTGATTAACAGGACAAACACAGCACCGGAACCAAAGGCCGCGCCCAAACACGCCCCCAGCGACAATTGCGAAGACTCCTGGGTCCGGGATGAGGAATGCATCCACAGAGCAGGGGCCACAGGACGCACAACAGGAAGATCTATCGGCTTGTAACTCAAACTGAAATACTCGTATTATCATTTATTTACAGCGCAAAATTCCAGACAATGGTAAATTAAGATTATTGACGATTTTCTTGTGATATTTTGGATTGGTCGAAAGACTCGAAACGGCTTACTAATCCTGCAAGATCCACTGCAGACGACTGTCCATTGTCGCAGTGTGGGGTTCTTCCGCTGGATGGGTTATGGACGGCGGCCTAAATGTCGTCCAATTGGAATCACTTGGTAGAGATCCGCCTTCGTTTGCGGTTGACTGTGCGTCGGGAACAAACGTAAAATTCAACCGATAACTAAGAAACATATACGGCGCGATATGAAGAACTTCAGAAATAACCCTTGAAGACATTTAGTAATAGATTCCGAGGAGTCGCGCTAAAGAGGAGAACCGCACCTGATATCGGATGAGGAGTTATAGGCGAATTTTTTCAGCTGATTTCCGTCGTCATAGCTGACAAAGTGGACATCGATTTTTAATTGATCGGTCACGCCGTCGGAGAAGGCCGCCGGGAGCGGCTGCGTCCGACTACCGGTCCGTCGGATTCCCGGAGGACCGGTGCCTGATCGAGCGGGATAGATGACGACGCCGACGTAGCCCTTTTCTTGAGCGATGACGAGCTTCCCGCTGAGATGATCCCCAGCCTGCTCGGCAAGGTCGTCGTCATCTACTGTAATTTCAGTGTCAAATAAAACCAAAGGAATCTACGAAATATGAGAAAACCTAAGAAAAACAAAATAAAATCTTATTAAATCCAGGAATTTAATAAATCTCAAAAACCAAAGTATTAACACAAATGACGCGGTTATTTCCTGGGTCACTGCGGTTACCGCTTGGCGTGGAGCACGGCGTGTCATCCGTTAAGAGAACAAATCCCGCCCACTGGTTCTCCTTCCACAGCCACGGTGTAGGCTCCACGAGTGTGCCGTGGCACGCGTCCGCCGGAGTTGCAGCTTTCAAGTAGATCTACAGGCATTTCCTGTGCATCATGGGCTACGCAGAATAACTACAGAAAGTTATGCAGAATAACTACATACGAGTCTAAAGAAGACGTACCGGAGCATCCGCAACGCCGGTTTGACGGCTTTTAATTGACTTAAAATCATTAGAAATCGTGTAAACTGCATCCCGTGACAGAGTGCCGTTTTCCTCTTTATACACTTCGATAAGGCAGTCTGCCAGTGTCAGCAGACACGCCAGGCTGATTTGTGCCAGACAGGCGCGAGTAATGAAGGGCTGCATGTTCCCGTCCAGATGGAGCTGAACATTTCGCAAAAAAACAGCCTTAAACCTTAGCCATTGCTTTCTAAACAGCAGTCCAGTAATACCCGTCTGGAATTGCAGCGTATGTGTTGGCACTGCCGCTCACAGTTCGTGGTTCACTGGTTGCTAATAGTTTTCATAGACGGCAGAGAATTGCTTGCTTACTGATTGCCGAGCAGCGTCTGCCATACCACGCGTACACCGCTAAAAAACAAACAGCGGATTCGATGCCCGCGGGCGCTATGATAAAGCAGCGAACGATATCCGGCCGACGGATGATGTCATATCATTGTTTGAAGCTATGCGGCACAGAGTGCCGTTTGTTCGTACGCAGTAAAACTAAGAACCAAAAAGGTGGCCAGCATTAATTAATCATATGCTTATTTCTCTACTGGAATAAATGATAATGAATGATGTCGTACCATTGTTTGATGGTGGGCTGGAAAAAGTTGGCATCTCAACATGTGCGATGATTGAGAGCAAGTTATTCAGCGGTATCAGCGTTTACGACTCTATTTCAACCATCCCTGCTCATATTATTACGATTAGTTTATGGAAGCGGTTGCTCCATATCAGTTAGCGTACTATTCAACACTTCATCAACATAAAAATTTCACCAGTATCAACGTTAAGGTTATTATTGGCTCTGCTGTACAGTGTTACAGCATGGTGCGCTTTTCTTGTAACGGGAGACCGACCAGTTGTTACGGACCCGATCGTTTTTTCAACTAACTTTGGAATAACAGCCTGACCGAGAAGAATTAAAAAAATTATTGTAGTTAGCGCCAGGATTATGCAGAATATGTACAATCCACACGAACACCGAAGGCGTGGCGAAAGCCTTTGCGAAAGCTCGCGCATGGCTGGAGATGTTTCGCCAGGTTTTAGGAAAGGTCCGAAATTCGAATGCAGTTCCGTTCTGCCCAGCATCGCCCGCACTCCTTGCCGGCGTTCCTTACTCATCGCTAAGAACATGATCTGCGACTCCCCATGTACTGGGTCACCTCCCTTATGTCTTACATAAAGTTGCCGAACAAAACCCGTTTTAAATAAAAACGAACTATTTGTTGCCACTCGTTCACATCCCTTTCACTCAGCTGAAAACCTTGAAGCCCTTCTGCACCATTTCTTACTCTGTGCACTATCTTATGCGCTACTAGAATTAATAAATTCCTGGTTTCTGTCTCAATGAATCGACTGCAGAGACAACATCGACGGCATTCTGGCGCTAGATACTGCAAATATCAGAAACATCTGCAGAACTTGGATCGAAATAATTTGAAAACAATAAGCTGTGACGGCAATTACGGTAAGTAATGAGTTAAAACAAATCCGCTTCGCGTTTCCGGTATAAAGTATTAATGGAATTAAAGGCAATGCCGGAAAAGATAGTGCACAGGGTGAAAGGAAGCTTCAAAAGGCGGTGTACAGATATGGAGCAAGAGGTCGACACGAAAGAAATAAATCATCCAATCTCCCCTGATAGAAGCCCATACAGGTTAAGCCCGTTCCAGGAACGGGTGAACACTGTAAACAAGCAATACATAGGCTGTGCATAATAACGCATGTAGTGGATTGAAGTCATTGAACATAATATGCCGACTTTCCTCCCAGGGGGCCATATACTGAACATAGGAAAGGGGCGAATCTATATTTATCACTGGACTCTACTGCACTGGCTACAGTACTGAGTAACAGTGGATGCGGCCAGCGAGAATTCTCGCTGGCTCAGTTACTATTGTTTACACAGATAAAAAAGAACTATTGCACGGGATCAAGATTTCTTTGAGCACCAAGGGAACGGACAAATTAGAGCTCTTTCCTGGAGCCTCTCGTTATCTCCCACGGGGGCGTTTGTTGAATTTTAAGGCTCAGTGGCACGTTAGCCGTCCGATGACCGACGCCGTGAATCTCGCGTGCATGATTTTCGGAACGACCGAAAATATTCTGCACTTGTTCGAGGGAGGGCATTTCGGACTGAAAGCTGCTCTTGGGGCTGATGTGGTGCGCGATTTGTTAGGTGAGTTTAATGCGACAGCCTCTTAACAAACAATTTATCTTGTACAACTATAAAGTAATAGGTGAAGTTGATAGAAGGCGTAAGCGTTTTACATGCTGCAGCATTCATCAACAGCGAGCATCCGGGTATCGCCGCCGGAAGACAGGAACCTGTCAAGGAAGAATTGCTGTATAAAGCTTTCAGTCGCAGAGTGTGGTACCTCCGTTCAGGACATAAAGGCGCCCCAAAGGAATCCTCTCCTGTTTAAAGCTTAGTAACTATCATGACTCCGTTGTTATTTGGACTATACGGAAGTTGAGTACCACTCCATTAAGTGCGAGTAATTATTTTCAGTGTCCATTAATCTTTTGCGTTTGTCTCTTTTTTGGTCGCATTTAACCTTCATTGGTGTATGATGCGGATCGATTTTATCGATGTTTCGTTTTTATGTGGAAGCGGATATGCTGCTTGACTTGTAGTTGCACTTATGTTTTCTTCTCTTGGTTGTTTTGTTTGCTGCTGTATTAGCAGTTAGCAGTCTGAGCATTGCCGGAATTTGTTGCAATAAGTTACTAATACCATCCAATATTGTTCCTCAGTTGGTTTCTCCTAACACCTCAAAATGTACGCAAAGTGGTACGAAAAACACTCCCAATTTAATAACTACACGAGGTGCCAACTGGAAGTTCCAAGTACTATAAAGGTCACCAAAAAACATTCAAAATTAGTACCACTTTTTGACGTGGGGAACACACTTTGCCATATAAACTGCCTAGATTCCCTCGCGCGCACAACGGTTACCCTATCTCAGGGACGTAGCGTCGCGTGGTAGCATACTGCCTCAAGACCCTACTTCTCAAACTTCGCGGCTACGGTGTTTACCCGTTCCGGAGACGGGCCTGTGTGTGCCAACTACTTACAAGTCCACAGATGGATGCAGCAGATGGTTAACCCATTGTGCAGTAAATCCACTAATTTTCTTTCTTGGTTTGACCTTTCCTGATTAGCGATGATCAATACGAGCACCTGCCACCTGTGCAAACGGTCGAGAGACAAGACGTTAACAGGGACGTTCAACATCGGAATCGCTCACAATTCTTTGCTGGTTCAATTGCACGACAACATCTGAGCAAGCATCACAGACGCTCATCCACGCGTTGCGCAAACAAACTAAAATTGCAATGCACAAACACGCATGTTACAAACGCCAAACTCTTGGCTGTTCCCAAATTTTTGTTTTTCTTTTACCAGAATTTGCTGTTGTTGTCGGCGATCCAGCGTCATCATTGAATTTGAGATTATTGCACTACTGAGCAAATTGCATTAATTCGTTTACATATGGATACATTTTGACTTTAGTAGACTTCGTCAACTAATCAGCTTTCCAGCTCGATTTGTCGGACCTTCGGTTTATACTTTCATACAATTCAACAGCACAGAGTGGCATTCGCTTGAATCGACGAATATTGATAAACTTTGGTAGCGTCTCGAAAAGCCATCATGAATTTCGGTTTAGTTACCAAAACCCTAATCTGTTTTGTAACGCTTTGTTGTGGTCTGCCCCCGTTGGCATCGAAGCGTTTTTCTGTGGATCTGGTATCCCACGTGTGTTTCATTTTTCTTGCTAGTGCACGGGCTTACGGTTGCCGTTTTCACGTGGTTCTCCGTGACGGAAAAGTCAACGCTGCAGTTTGGGAGCTTTTCCTTCAAATGCGTCACGTGCATGCAGGCCTGGTTTGTCCACGCTGTGATTGTTATAAAATTGTACTCGCAAGAAGACATAGCCGAACGCTTTCGCCAGGTTGTCTGCACGCATAACGGCACGCTAAAGACCGCCTGCTTGATTACCGGCGCTGCGATATCTTTGCTAGCAGCTGCCGGTTTCTTTTTTACAGAGCTATTTTTAATTATTTTCGATCCCGTAAGACCGTTCGAAGCGGCAAGAGCACTTCCCTGCCGACTGCTGCCAAATCTGACTATACCATGCACTCAAGCGAAAGCCCTGGTCATTCTGGTCTTTTCCAACTCGTACCAATATAACTGCACATGTACAGTCGCCGTCAGTTGCAGTGTCCTGATGTTTTTGCTGGGAATCTCATTTCGCAAAATCACCACTGATCTGGAACTAACATGCGAAGAGATCTTCGCCACCAAACGTCCATGCGCCCCAGCATCTCCAACCAATGATGACATCACTGAAATTCTACAAAACGGGTCTACGGATGCCGCTTCTACGCAGCACCACCGAAAGGTCACTGGCAGCTATCCGCGTTTAATAAGTAGAATGCGGTTTCAGTGCCTGATGCAGTTGGCCAGAATGATCATCGATATTTACAAATGGCTCATGTTCTTGACCGCTTCCTGTTCCATCATAGCCACTCTGGGGCTTCTACTTCGGGTGTTTGACGGACAGCGGCTCGAGCCCTATGATTTCGTTCTCCCAATGGCGCATATTATATCTCACATGGTGCTCCTGCTTGCAGTTAGTTTCTGCAACGCTAAGGTAAATTTTATAGTAACTGCACTTTTACCTTGGCAGATATGATGCGGGATAACAATTTGCGTTAACAGCTCCACAGAATAAAGGACCGCCCGATGGAACTGGCAACGGCTCCACGCTTTAAAGACTGTGTGGAGATCAGTAAATTTTGTAAGCAGTTCCTTGAGGACATGAGCTGCGATAATGTGATCCAGGAAATCTCCGGACAGTTGGCTGTCATCAGTACTGAGTCCGTCGTTGCGGTATGTAAAATACGCTCCCTGAGAATAATTAAGCGATCCTTTGCGCAAAACCTTTGAATGTGTACACAACTTTAATAACTGGCAACACCGTACCGACAATTGCCCATTAGCCTGGCGTAAATGCACAACTGCGAAATACAATCGCAAAGCTCTTAGCAGCAGAACATTCACATTTGTGATGAACTGGAAATAAAGTTAGCTGAACGAAAAGCAGTGGCTGAATAAAAGTAATAAGTGGAGAAATCCTACATATAGCGAATAAGATAGTTTATGGAAAGCTGGGGACAGTTGGCGGCAGTGAGAATGTCATACAGCTGCTTCGATGGGAAAGCCAATACTGCATTGATAACTTTCGCTGGTTTCTTTAGAGTGTGGCATCTTCCCTGGCCTATCTCATCCTAATCCTCCAGAGCAAGGATG